AATTACATAAATTAACTTTCCTCTTGCTCGTTACATGTACTGTGTGTTGTAGCTGAAATATAATTCTGTACGATTTTAAATATTTTCTTTCGCATTGTATTGACCTCTACAGACGTTTATCTCATAATATGTATATATATTTGTAATAAGATTAAAACATAAGTTTCAAACAAAATGTCTTAAATACTCACCGTCAAAAAGTGTGTGTGTGTGTGTTTATACGTATGCACGTATAATAAGTTGCTCTTTCCACTTAAAATAAAAAAGAAATTCAACTGAAAAGCGTAAATCTATAAATGCGTCTGAAATTATAACACATGTTTTACGCTAAGATCTGGTTCTGGTATGTTGCGGTTGATAAGATATAAATTATCAGAGAGATTATGTTGCTAATATTGTCATATGTTTATTGATGTGAAGTGTTTTGTGTTGTATTTCGAACACTGCATTGCTTAAATTTAATTGTTTTGAATAACAAACATTATTTCAATCAACATGTAACGCTTTTGCTTATGTGGGCTTAAAATTTAAATGTATGCTTTTGTATAATATAATATATAAATATAAATGTGTAATAAGCGATAGTAGCCTAATGAACAAGTGTACGGAGTGAAAACTTGAAAAGTCGTGGGTTTGAATCCGCTACTCGACTGTTATTGTGAACCACTCCCTTTTATGTACATTTGGTAATGCCTTCGCATACCCGCCTCGCGGGGGCAAGGACGGGCTATGTCGGACTCGCACCAACTAAAACTCCATGGTGCCATATGCAACCGCATATTGGCAGGGTCACGAGCACGCTTTCGCACACATCCGCGGCCCCACCGGCGCCAGTCGCTCCATGGTAACCTCTCCTCGGGGGAGAACTTCTCCTCCCCTTTTTCTTCTCAGGTAAGGCGCACCAGGAATACGAGGCGTGCCTTCCTCCGCGGCCTCTAACTCGCCAGAATCGTGAAGGATAGGACGAGTGGCGCATCGTCCTTCGAACACTCCTCGTACCCCACAACTCCACCTCGGCTGCGACTGGAAGGGGGAGAAGACACCCCTCCCGCCTCAGTTCATCAACGCGGTGGGCTCCTCTTTGTTCACCGTGGGTGCCAATGCTACTGAGCCCCCCGCCACGACAGGGCGGGATTTGTGTACCACTCCTAACAGATACAAGCATTTTTAACTTTCTTGTTGAATCCAGTTTAAGTAAATGTTAATAGCGTTACTAGAATAATTTTTGAAATCCCCTACTTGGGAAGTAATACAGAATTATAGTAAGTACCCAATCAGCTGTTAGTAAAAGGCACCCACTGACGATGTATTGTGATTGAAAACGAGACAATCGCAATACACCAAGAAGTCACAACTAACAATAATTGTTGAAGTTAAACTTCTTTTTCGACGTAGTGGAGAAGTATAGTACAGTATTAAAAAACAAAAACTTCACATTTTATTGTAACGTTTCACCGCTGGGACTGCATACTACAGTACAGTATACTATTATTTAATCTACTTACGTAAAATATAAAACAAAAGAAGAATGATATAGACACGATTTGTTTGTATTCTGTTATCTATGTAAGTTACAGTTACAAGAGTACTGCATTTTTGAGGTTATTTCCGAACCAGCTGTTAAAATAATAAATGACTTATATTACGTATCTTTAATTCCCTCTTTCTGTTACTGGCTAGATATGTTCGTTAACAGTAATTCAATTTTCAATTCCTTTGTCACATATAACAAAATTGCCTTAAAAAAGTTGTTCATTTATTTTGTTTTTATTTTCTTCATTAACGTTATATCTGCAACTATCGAAAAAATAAAAATTAGCCTTATATTGGAATATTAGTCTATCGTGGTTCCACCGGTTTCAGTTTTACAGACGGCACGTAACAAAATAACTTGTATGGACAGGTTGCAAGCGGGTTTAATTGAATAGAAAGGGTTATTATAAATGAATACATGTATTATTAACCCCTGGAAATGAGGTGTTCACTTCCAAGCTGTTTTTAAAATAAATTCTGCATATAGTTTGTACAACCTTTCTTAATGTATAATTTAAGTACATTGAAAAAAAAAAAGTCCCGCGGTTTCTTCCAGGACAGAGGTTTTTAAAAAATTAAGAAATAATATTAAATTCAATTCTATTCGAAAGAAGTCAGATAATCTACATATTTTTTAATTGTTTGAAAGTGACAACTGGAAAAATATATTTTATTGTTTACTTTCAGCTCGGTTGACGTGATTTTCTCGCTTTGATTTACTATTATTTTAAAATAAGCTTAAAGCCCGAAAAAATTTTTTGAACTTTTTACTACTACTTATGGTGAGCCTGCAGGCTTACTCCCAACAGAACGTAGTTTTGAATCTATCGAACTTTTTTCAAACTAAGGAAATTCCATGGTAATTCGTACTCCCGAAAGTAAAGCCAACAAACGAAAGGCGATTCAAATTACAATTTTCAGAATGGAAATCTTAAGCTATCTGTCGCTAGATGGCGCTCATAGTCATGAATGTATTTTCTTAATAAGTTTGTTTTGTTTGTGTAATAAATATATTCAAAAATAAAACTTTAATGTATTTAATAAAGCTGATAACGCTAGGTCACAACTCGATCGTCTTCCTAGATTCGAATTGGTCGATCGCGACCACCCAAGAAAATGTTTGGGCAGTCGAAAAACTTTATAGAGAATAGAAAAAGTTATTTTCAATAAAGAACACTTATTGAAAGCTTACCACTGGGAAGATCCCGCAAGAAGCCCAGCGCAACTCTTATTTTTAAAACAATATTATACAATTGAATATAAAACATTTAAAAAAATTGGTATCAAATACTGTGGATTTCATTTATTACGACCTTGGTTGTAGCGACCATTTGCTTATAGCGACGTTAAATCTAAGTCCCTTGAATTTAAAGCATATTTTAGTACAAAATTCATGTGGCTATAGCGACTTTGGATGTAACGCCGAGTTCGGGTGTAGCGACTGTTTTTAATAAATCATTTGTAACAAATTCCTAGAAATCCCATGCAGATATTGCGACCAGAGTCGGCCGCCAAAGACACAAAAATTTCTTTCCTTCACAAACATTTCTTATCTTTTGTTTACATCCATACAGATGGCCAGCAAGTGTGGAGACCTTTACCTTTTGTTTATAAATATCAGCTAAGTAGGTAGAGAAGCGTGTACGTTTCGGAGTTAAATTTATGGTTCAGTTACAAAGTGATATTCTGAGTAGCAACTGTAATGTATTAAATTTGGTACCTTTGCCTGTAACGACTTCCGGATATAACGACGAAAATATAGTGGTCCCTTCATCGTCGTTATACCCGAAATCCACTGTACTTTATTCCCAGTACCCAGGTGTAATCATGTCTTCCATAATAATACCATAACCCTTTTAAACAACTTTTGCTAAAGAAAATTTTATAACTTATGGAATATATGTAAGTCCGTTATATTGTCTAGGTCTTTGTTGTAAAAGCATTACATTACCCCATAAAGGAATAACACTCTTTAGAGTCAAGTACTAGCTTGCACTTTTTCCTATAGTATGTATTAACAGAATTTAGGTATGTCACTAATTTTAATAAAACAATTTATGTTTTTTGCGAACATACTCGTACATTATGTAGTGGTAGCGTAAGAATATTCACTACCCCATATAACCCACAATATCATCCTGTGTGTATCGTAAGAAGTGACAGATCGAAACAGTGAATTAATTTCGATATATCACTATTCGTTTCATCATATTTCAACAATTACCGTACCTGTCTGAACATCAACGAGGTACCATCAGCAAATTAAACTAAATTGTGGTTGATCCCTACCAGGAAAGGGTCCAAGAATTGAGCGCCATCGAGGCGCCATTGAGGAACATCCATACATAAATGCATGCATTGGGAATACATCTTCTGAGTTCTTTCATGCACAGAAAATATGTTTAATCTACAGACATCATATAAAATTATGCCTGTGATCTTATGTTTGAAAAATCAGCCTTGAACAAAACAATAATATTATATTAAGAAGGCCAATTTGTCAGAACAAATTTTTAACTCTTTTTTTTAAGAAGTTTGAATTAAAAGCCACCGCCACGCACGGAGAATAGCAGCTGACCCAGCTGCCAGTTAGTTGCTGAGTCAACTCGGTCATACAATCCAGCATTCAACGCGCCCACACTACCCATATCCTCATTGAGCTTGAATGGTTACATTGAATAATCTAGTTTAATGCAATAAATAATGTTTAAGTATTTTAAATTAGAATTGATATTATCAATATTAAAATTGTCTTTACAGCTACAGCTTTTGCAATTCTGTGAAGGATTAAAATTAGGCAGCTTTTTTACGTGGTAGAGCCATGCTGCAGCTATAGTGATGTGAATTTCAATATAAAGTGTCTGCCTGCTTAGGCGCTTTGAGACACTATCGCCAATTGTCTGCTGGCGCCAGTTGACATCAAAATCTCCCAAAACTGCGCAATGTGACACATCAAAGTATTGTAAAGCAGAGTACTAAAAATAATTATTATCATTTGATTCTAAAAATCTATAAAAAAAATGAAGATCCCAAATGAAATGAAGAAAAGACTTAAAAGGCATGCATCCAAGCTAAAAGTCTTAATAAAAAATGCAACTGTCAATGTCAATTTTCATTTGTCAAAGTATATTCAAGCCGTTCAAGCAAAGTTCTATTTTTTCTAGAATATAATTACTCACGTTTTTAAGTTTTTCTGGATAATTCTACACTTTACGGGAAAGGACCACACACAAAAAGAGTTCATTATATATACCTGGAAGAACATAATACCTTTGTCATAGTTAAGAGTGCAGTGTTGATACACTACTATTACGGCGAAATAAAAGAAAATAGCAGTAGTAATAGTATTCTATAATATAATAAAATAAATAGTAAATAGTATTCTATAAGTGCTGCAACAAAGTTTGTTCATTTTTATTGAAGCATTATTAATTTTTAACCTAGATAAATCCAAAAATTCTGATAACATGGCTTCAAATAATTCTGAGAACAGGAACCAAATTGCTGGAGCCTTAACTTATCCTATCAGAGATGAGAGTAATGTGGAATCTGTGCCAATTCAGCCTAGGCAGCCAAGAAATTTACAGGTATGTTATGATAAAAATAATTTTCACAAAAATTGCATATAATGAAACTAAATATGTCAATTTCTAGTATTATATAGTAGACGGTTTGTCAGAGTTAAGCTTGAACATTTTACATTGTTTTTGGATTTCAGAAATGTGTTTTGAATAAATTACAATAAAAATAAATTTCACAAACTAAAAATTGTATATGACAAAACAGGTCACCCATAAAAAAGTTCGGTTTAACATTTACTACTAACATTATTACTATTAACATTTACGTTTAAAAATTAATTTTTACTCGGACCCAGACAATCCGTTTGTGGCTTAAGGCTGAAGATGGGACTCATACACAACAAATTGAGTCGTAGTGGATAGCAGTTAAGAAGTTTTTAAGAAAACAAAATTATAACAATTCAAATTACATTGTTTCATTTACCACTATCATAGCAGAGTTTAGGGCAACCTGACTTTACAGATAAGATAGTTTGAATCTGTACTAAAACTGAATCAGCAGCCCAGACTCCACATAGTCTTGTGTGCTCTACCCCTAGAGTGTTTTTGTAAAGGTGGAGGGAGAGCAGCCCTAGCCCACCGTAACAAATCACAGGCACACAACTGTGCGAGCCGTAGCAGTTGAGACTGGTCACCCAAGGTGACCACTAAGTCAAAGCTGTGGAAGGGAACATGGCTGCCTGCGATTTGCTACGCAAGGGCGAAGAGACTGCATTTATCGCAGCACATTAAAAAAAATAATTACGTATTTCATAAAAAAAAAAATTACTCATAAAGTATACTTTTCAGCAAGGAGGCTGTTCGACTGAACCAACCCCATAACCCATAGTACTGGATGTCTTACAGTTTTACCGATTTATCTTTTTTATTTCTTAAGGAAGATTTTTGGCATATCACAAACACCAACACTGTGTTATATTACTTTTGCTGCCAAATAGCAGTGCCTGCACAACTGTTTTTATAGTCTGGAGCAGTATAGGGAGCCAGTACAATTATAGGCTGAGAGGCAATCCATCTTAGGAGGTAATAACACATCTGTAGTCTTGTTTGAAGTTTGTTGCAGCTGTCCTTGGGCTGCAGTAGCTGTTTACCATTAGATGGACTGTATATTCATTTATAACTTTAATGTTGCTAAAAACTTGAAATGGAAAAGACATTTAATATTTTTTATATAACATAATTTATCAACAAAACTGCACTAAAATAATAATTTTTAGTCATTCTCAATTTTTTTATAGAATAATAGTATCATGTGAGCATGTAGTTCACCTCATGGTAGGTGGATGCTGTGCCCCATGGACCTCTACATCATGTACACATGAGGATTAAGATAGAACGCCTCATTTCAAGTAAAAAGCGTCTGCGGTTCTCTACGGCCACAATACCACATACAAAGCAGCATTATTCTCGTGTTTCCCATTGGTATTGGTGACTGTGTGTATATTGGTCCTAACTCGGTTAATCCAAGAATGCATTTGTGCTGTAGCTGTAAATGGCTATATATATAGTTGAAGCATGGCTCTACGATGTAAGAATGCTATGAACTAAATTTGATAGAAATAACACAGGCAGAGTGTCAGAAATGAAAATGTACATAAAATAGATTGTAATAGTCTTCAAAGATAGATGAAATCTATTGTAACTGTAACTTTACAATATTTAGCTTTACTAAAAGATTCTAGGAACACACTACAATTAGTGATTTATTTTACTATCAGTCATACTATGATGTTTAGTTTTGCACTGACAGATATAATACGAGTTCTTTTTAATGAAATTTTTACAGGGCCTACTTCGTTTTGCTATGGAGGCAACAAAAGCTGAGGATGCCCCCGGGGAATCTCAATTTGGCCCTATGGATGAAGAGGTAGGTAAAATTTGCATTTACATGGCTGTATTTTAGTATATTTTATAGTATTTATGTAAAGAAAGAAACTACTTGAAGAAAACCTACTTGCTTTAACTGCATGTTTTGAACATTCAGTTAAAGCCAGTAGGTTTAAAACGTAAAAAGTATTACAGGAAAAAGACAAATGAAAGAAAGTATAAACTACATTAATAAGATAGAATATTTCTTACTCTTAGATCTATTATTATTCTTATTACTATTATTCTTAAAAAAATATATTATAAATATAGTTCTTTAAATGACTTTTCATTACCGCCCATCACAAGTCCACTGCTGAACATAGGCCTCCTCAAAGGAACGCCACATCGTATGATCCCAAGCCACCTGCATCCATTATCTTCCTGCATATCTTACCAGGTCGTCACTCCATCTAGTGAGAGGCCTACACTTCGCCTACCTGTACGAGGCTGACACTCAAGAACCTTTCTTCCACATCAGTTGTCAGTTCCTCGAGCTATATGGCCGGCCCATTGCCACTTCAGCTTACTAATCCGTTGGGCTATGTTGGTTACTGGTTCTTTTGTGGGTATCCTCGTTTGTAAGTTTGTCATGCAGAGAAACCCCTGGCATAGTCCTCTCCATAACTCGCTGAGCGACCTTGAGCTTCCTCATACGGCCAGCAGTGAAGGACCATGTCTCAGATCCATAGGTCATCACTGGCAACACTCACCGATACTCAACTTGGCGCCGCTGAAGGGACTGCAGCCCTGCCCATATTTCGACGGAATGCTTTCTCATAGTCCACATACGCAGGAGAAAGTGGCAGGTTTGTACTCTTCGGTCTACTGTACAATTTGCCGAAGGGTGTCTATGGTGCTAAAGCCTTTTCGGAAACCAGCTTGTTCGGGAGGCTGGAAGTTGTCTAATCTGTATGTTAGACGATTCATAATGACTCTCGAAAACAATACGTAAACGCGGCTTTTTTTTTATGGAAGACTGGGCAAACGAGCATGCGGCTCACCTGATGGTAAGTGACTACCGCCGCCCACGAACACCAGGGTAATTGCAGATGCGTCGGCGGCCTTTTAGAAAGGTGTAAGCTATTAGAAAGTACATTGTCTTTATTGTAGAATAACACCACCGCACTTCTGCTCCACGCCTCCGGAGTAGTGCCACCATGGAGGACAGAATTAAACAGCTTCTGAAGGACTTCGAGTACCGGTTTTCCATCCGCTTTCAGAAGCTCCGCTGTAATTCCATCCTCGCCCGTGAACTTGCCGCTAAATGACTTAGCAATATCTAATTTTTGTTCATAGCCTATGACTTCAAGTTTCCTTATTTTCTTTTTGCAGCGACGAAAGTTTTTAGAAGAAGCTTTGAAAAGTCTTACAATTGATGTGGCAGAGGTTCTTCAAAAAGCAATCAAGGTTCTTACAGATGCCGAAAAGATTCGAAACATCCAACTTGGCCAGGACTTGCCAGAGGACGTTGCAACATCCCTCAGCAACATTCACGAATTTGTGGGTGATATTGATATTGCTAATGGTAAGTTTACAAAAAATTATAAAAAAATTAAACCATAGGCCACTGGAGGTCCCTGAAAGCATCTGAAATGGTCCACGAAGGCATCATAAAATTCTCTCACATATAAAAAACCCGAAAATATCTTTGAGGTAACTTTGGTGCCCAAATTCTGCCGATGCGGCTTATACTACAAAGGTGTTGCTAAATTATAATTTAAAATTTTGTACAACTGATTTCAAGATAAATTATTAAGAATAACTCATAAACTATTGGTCAGGCCTTGATCAAATTTATTTGGGACCACATGAGCTTTCAATTAAAAAAGAATCCTCGAAATTGGTTTACCCAGAAAAATTTATGAGGTAACACACAATAAAAAAAGAACAGTTGAATTGACAGTCTCCTTTTTGAAGTCTGTAGAAAATATGGGGTTTTATTTGTTTTTCTACAAATAAAACGCCATATTATTAACTTAAAATGAACTTCAGCATAATTTACAGTATGTCTTAAAGTTGGTGGTCCATGGCAAGACAAAAAGATCAAAAAACGGAGGATAAGATGATTTACTTTTTAGACTGGAGTTTTTACAAATAATTTGATGGTTAGGTGTGAATTCACAGACCAAAACTAAATACTGCCAGTAGAAATACTAACAAAATAGAATACTCAAATAAACATCCCTAAATAAAAGATTAAATGCTCGTAAGTTAAGCGTAGTCTTAAATTGGCGCATGTTCAGTATATCGCCATTTTGGCGAGGTATGCCGCCGACTCTGCCACTCACTTTTGCAGCATGAATTTGTCTTGTCATTTTTTTCTTAATGATCTTTCTACATATCCAAACCACCTTGGCATCATTTCTTTCTTAATCCTGGTCATCAAACCTGGACAACATCTTGCAAACCACAATGTATTTCCTTAATAAGTAAGTAGTAAGAGTTCCGGTGTGGCAGAAGAAGCATGAGAAATTAATGCTGTAGAAATATGGTCTATAAAAAGTATGTTTGAGATGACTCTAAATGTTAGGGTGAGAGATTGTGTGGTAACAGGAAAGACTACTCAACTGTATTACCTTATACTGCTTATACAAATAAAAAATTCTTTAGGTTTCTAAGCAAATTTCTGGAATTTCCTTAGTTTTAGAATAGTTTTTTTTTTATTGGATCGGGTGACAAACGAGCACACAGTCCACCTGATGGTAAGTGGTTACTGTGACCCATAGACATCTACATCTATCCTCAATAAAGACTCAAGATGCAGATGCGTTGTCACCCGTGACGACTAAGATTGAATGCCTCTTTGCCAGTAAAAAGGCTCTCCGGTTCTCTACACTCACCATACGAAACACTGCAGCGTTAAGCTGCTATTTTACGCTGGTTTTCTGTGAGAGCGTGGTCCTTCCCTAGTCGTGCCGACCCATTCGTGCTACAACTATAGAGCCATGCTGCAGCTATATACTAATATAGCTGCAGCATGGCTCTACCACGTAAAAACGTGGCACGTGTTCTTGTAACTTCGTTTTTGTTCAGATTTTCGTTTTTGGCAGATTTCATACCGAGTAACTTAGGGTACTTTTATTTTAGAAAAATAATTAGGGTTCCGCGCAAAAACATAAAAACCCTAACACGCGAGCGAAGTCGCGGAGAACAGCTGGTATTAAATATATTATTAATGCTGATTGACAGCCTCGTTGGTTTATTGTTTTTAAGTGCTAATAATGAGATTCTTGGTTTGAATCCTGGGTCTGACCAAAATCAGATATTGGATTTTTCTGTGAAGTAATTATCAAATGCAGCGTGCTGTCTGGAGTCAAGAAGTTGACGGTGTTTCAACTAGTGCCTCGGAAAGCACGTAAAACCGTTAACTATGGGAGCGAGTGAATAGGGAGTGCACCTGTGCTTACACACACACAATCGTAATTGACTATAATAGACTGGCCGCCGTAACCTAAATTCGGTCTAGAAAACAACATTATTATTATTCATAATAAATAATTTGTGATAGGTTTTTTTTTAAAAAAAATTATGTTAATTTTTCCAGACTTCTACAAATTGGGTGGTTTCGCAATCTTTCCCATTTGCTTCGGCAGCGAGAACGCCACCGTACGTGCCGAAGCTGGTTCAATCTTGGCAGAGGTATGCCAGAACAACCCATTCTGTCAGACGCGTGCATTAGAGTGTGGCTTACTGAATGTGCTTCTACATCTTGTCCAGTCTGAAGAAGGTGTTGCTCTGGCAAAATGCCTATATGCTATTTCATGTAAGTATATTTTAAACCAACACATATAACTTCCGTTACCATACTGTGTAGTGGTGGTGTAAGAATATCCACTGTCCCATATTTTTTTTTCTTTTTATAGGATAGGGTGACAAACGAGCACACAGTCCACCTGATGGTAAGTGGTTGCTGTGACCCATAGACATCTACATCTATCCTCGTTTGCGACTCAAAATGCAGATGCGTTGTCACCCGTGAGGACTAAGATGGAATTCCTCTTTTCCAGTAAAAGGGGTCTTCGGTTTTCTACACTCACCACACGAAACACAGCAGTGTTAAGCTGTCATTTTACGCTGGTATTCTCTGATAGCGGTGGTCGAGTCGACCCATTTGTGCTACAACTATACTACTAATATAGCTGCAGCATGGCTCTACCACGTAAAATCATCCCGTGAGTATTTTAAGAGGCGACAGAGGGTAACAAAACAGGAAATAGGGCAGCAGTGGCTTCCTAATAACGACTAAAAATAAAAATAAAACTGCTGTTGCCAATCTGCTTGTCAAACGTGGCTACTATAGCAAATATCCCATCCACAATAAGGCATGCTGCTGTAACTGTTGCTGCAGCTATATTAATTGTATAGTTACAGCACAAATGGTTCGGTACGACCGGGGAAGAACCACGCTCTCACAGAATACCAGCGTAAAATAGCAGCTGAATGCTATTGGTGCTGTGTTTCGTATGGCGAGTGTAGAGAACCGGAGACCCATTTTACTGGAAAAGAGGCATTTAGTCCTCACGGGTGTCGACGCATCTGCATTTTGATTCTTTATTGAGGATAAATGTAGATGTCTATGGGTCACAGCAACCACTTACCATCAGGTGGACTGTGTGCTCGTTTGTCACCCTATCCTATATAAAAAAAAACTTGCAGTGGGATATAAACCAAGAAGTTGTTACTACCATAAAAGGATAAAGCAATGTAAAAATAAGTATATGTGCCTACATATATAGAGGTTACACTTTATTAACATTAACATAACACCCTTACTTATCATCTAATCCAGTCCATAACCACTGTTAAATTTAGGCCTACCTAGATTGCTATATAGGGGGGAATTGTCATAGTTGACACACTTGGCAACCGTAGTTTATTATAATTGTGAGGAAAATGCTGCTGTCCATGCCCCACCTCCTGTTTCAGTTTCCCTCTGTTGCCTCATACGTCACCCATGGTATGATTTTACAGCTGTAATTGATGGATGGATAGTAATGATTTTGGTAAATGTTAAGAAGGTTATGTAGTGAAGAGTGGATTTGGTTTGCATACTTCATATAATTTAATTTTATCTTGTATTTACTTCTAACTGCTTACTGTGTTGCATGTTTTATATTATAAAGTTGTTACCAAGAAATATTGTTTTATTTAAATAATTTTGAGGGTATTATTGTTTTTTTGTCTTCCATATACATTCATATACTATTATCCAGTTATGATGAAACATTATTTTTGAAAAAAAAAGGCAATGCAATACACGAGGGGCACAGCTAGTATATGGTATGAAAGATATAGGTACAATATATTATACAATATTAAACAGTGTCTTAACTTTCTGTTAAAATTCTTTATTAAACTTGTTTACAGGCATTACGCGCGAGTTCGAGCCCGCCTGCCGCGAGCTGAGCTCACAGGACGGCTGCGCTATTCTCTCGCAACTGCTCCACAGCGACGACATACGCGTGCGCACTAAAGTCGCTTTCCTCATCGCGTACCTCGTACGTCACCATCCCTACACTAAAGGTGAGAGAAATGGTTCTGACTTAAATTCTGACGTACTTATAAGGATCCACCTGGTAAAGTAAACAGCCTTTATACATTCTACTCCTTACTCCAGCTCAGCTAAGAACTAAACATGCAACTCGAAAGAATTTTAGCTAGTTAGATTATATATTTGTCCTTTTTTTTAATGTTATACTAAAATTTTCTCCTGTATCGAGGAGGCAGTATTTACATACATAAATTCCACAAGGGCAACAATACAATTCCAGAACATTAATTTGTATGCCATATAAATAATTGTTCTGTGGATTAGAACCCGCAGCCCTCGGCGCTGCAACTAAATGTTAAGCTACTACGCCACGGAGTCATCTTAGTAGTGCAAATAACATTGCTAGTGTTCTACGAAACTCATTGGATAATCTGACTTGTGTGGTCAAATTCACACTGAATATTAGTCAGTTATACAATAAATGCGAAAATATACCTAAGGTCTATATTTTTACAAAGTAAAAACAATTACAGCTAGAGTTGCAGTCAATAAAAAGTAAAATTATAACAAAATCTCAGCAAGTGATTCTATTGTATTATTACTTATTTAATATTCTAACATACTTAATGCATCATTCCTGATTACACATTGATTACATTCATAATTGTTCTGATTGCAGATAAATTCTTTGAAGAAAATATTATAAAAACCATTGCTGTGGAATTAGACAAAGGTCTAAACAGCGGTACTTCATGTCTTCTGAATGCACTTTTAGCGTTAGTCGAAAAATTGGATCCCATTGCATTACAACAATTAAAAAACCCTACAGTTGGATTGAAGAATATTCTCGAGAAGCTTTGGAATGAACCGGAGTTAAAGGAGCCAGAGTACGATGAAGAGAGGGATTGCTTAAAGGCAATAATGGAGATTTTCGAGAAGAGTCCAGAAGTAGAGGTGATTAATGAGGATGGTGCTGACAGATAGTTGCATATAGTAGTAATTGTGGATAAATACTTTTGAAGAGCAGTGTTTTAACATTGGAAGAGATCAAAGCGGCTGGGTGTACCATGTAATGGACATTAAGAACAGATAATTAGTATGTCTTTCATTGAAGTAAAATTCAGTGTTTTCTTTATTTATACTACACATTCCTTACACGTCATAGTGATTTGGTACCAGGTTTTATATTCTGTATTAATAAACTTATCCACTCCTAAATAGCTGTGTTATTATTATTGACAACTGCATGCTTGATAGCAGTCAAAAGTTTGGTGTCTCATGTAGAATCAGAAATTCTACGCCGCTGTTGCTTGCCACGACAGCAGCTCCTTACATGCACCACAGTGTATTAAAAACAAGAGGAAGTGGTAAAACCCCTTAATTTGTATAAAAAAGTTTTTTTTATAGGATCGGGTGACAAACGAGCACACAGTCCACCTGATGGTAAGTAGTTACTGTGACCCATAGACATCTACATCTATCCTCAATAAAGACTCAAGATGCAGATGCGTTGTCACCCGTGAGGACTGAGATGGAATGCCTCTTTGCCAGTAAAAAGGGTCTCCGGTTCTCTACACTCACCATACGAAACACAGCAGCGTTAAGCTGCTATTTTACGCGGGTTTTCTGTGAGAGCGTGGTCCTTCCCCGGTCGAGCCGACCCATTCGTGCTACAACCATAATATAGCTGCAGCATGGCTCTACCACGTAGAAACTGTAGTTAACTTTTACATTGATAAGGACAGAAATGTATACCAACATTTGTACAATTTTATCGTGATTGGCGAAACAATAGGGAATACAGAACACTATTAACGGCATAGAGCAACTGGCCACCGCACCGGGGGACCAGCTGGGAGTAGCCATATCGTTTTTCTGATACAGAACTGTTTATTATTTTTTGCGGGGGGAATCTGCATACACAAAAGCATTCGTCTGTCACTACGAAACTCACATAAAACAAAACAATATATTAACAATTTCACACACAACATAACAGTCCCGCTCGGTGACAGCGACAACTATGATACAGACACTTAAGTTTAAATAGAAGTAAATAGCAATAATATGATTAAAATTATTTTAATATGAAAGGTAACGCCAACTTTTTGTACTCGTAAATTTGACGTGACAGATCGCTGAGCATTACTTTCTTTCAGTATATAAAAAGTACTCTGTGCTACTTTCTGACCGCGTGGACTTATACGTTGACGTATGGCTAGTTCCCTCCGATGGTCCGTGTTGCTCATGATTAGCGGACATAGAGAACGGCTTTGTTACTTGTAATCAGCTCGAGTACGTACTATAAATTATTATATATAAAGATCACATTTATTTAGAAAGTTTCTAGGATTGACGAACAAAGTCAGCTACTTTATGTGAGGTGTGGCGTAATACCGCTATCATTTTGAAAATGCACCATAAACAAAGACTGACAAACTAATTTTGCTACTCGACGCTAGATGTCGCTATTCTAGGCATTATAATGTTCGGCTCACGGAATATAAACATCTATTAGTAAGAATTTTATAGTGCATTTTGGATAACAAACTGGCACAAAACTGTTTTAATGTATTTTGATTGTTATCTGTTTTGTTGTCCATATAATAAATAAATAAATTGCAGTATTACTGAGACATAAAGTTAAGCTTAGCTCTAGAAACTTCCTTGATGTAAAGGAAATATGTTCTCCAAATTAAAAAAAATTGTGGTTCGTAATCAAACGAATGGTAAGTAAAATCAAAGCCTTTCTCTTTTAATTTTTAGTAGGCACTCACACGAAAGTGATTGAAACCACAGAGTACATTATACCTAGTCAGGTCATAAGTTCTGTCAAAAACTTTTTATGTTTGATACACGTTTTGATAATTATATAGAAATTATATATGAAATGAAAGGCAATTTAATTTAGAATACAATTTTATTTACATTATACAAAATGCCCCCCAATATTTTGAATACATGCCTTTAATCGACGCGGCCAATCATCAATAGCAGCACTCACCACATTCATATCTATTTCTGCCGCTGCTTTAGCCAAAGATGCTCGGAGAGATTCCAAATTCTGATGAGGTTTAGCGCAGACATTCTCCTTCAAATGTTGCCATATCTTTTTATCCAGTGGGTATAAATCTGGACTAGAAGAGTGCCAGTCTTAATGTCCGATAAAGTCAATTCCATGGGCAGTCAACCAGTTTTGTGTGCTTCGTGCCCTATGAGCTGGTGCAGAGTCCTGTTGGAATATTCAATGTCTGTTTTTGAACATTGTTTGAGAAAGAGGGTCCACTATGCTAGTTAGGACGGTATTTTGGTACACCTCGGCACTGGTTTTTACACCTTTTTCACAGAAAAACACCTCAGTTAAGCCTGAATATGAGACTCCAAGCCAAACCATGAGTGACGAAGGATTGAACCCTCGGAATACGCGTGCTGGTTTCTTCACTGCTGTGGGCATACATCTTATCATTTTATTTATTATAACTGTCTTCGATGTTAAAAATTTTGTCATCCGAAAACAAAATATCGCGGTATATTTTTCCCGCGTACCGGCGTAGCAAAGCGCGGGATCTATCCAGCCTAATTTTTTTCAAACGCTCGTTCATAAAATGTCCGGTCTTCTTACGATAAGCTCGTAGTTGTTCTGCTTAGGCCCATCTGAAGAGCTAGGATTTTTTATTTACGAACAGGATTTCGGTGGATTCGCGCCTTCACTGCTTTGATGATCGCGCGTGTCCTAACTGTACGAGGTCGGCCGGTCCTCTTACGATCTTCGAAGCTTAAATCTTCAGTGAATCATTTGATAGTGCGATAAACAAATCATAGGGTTATTTTCAATTATTTTAAAATATTGAAAATCTCTTTTGCCGCGTAACCACAGCGGTGCAACGCGATAACCGCTACTCTATCTTCTTTCTTCGACCACTCCATATTTGAAAATTAATGTCTTTTTTATTTTCGGCAAGCGCAAACGTTACATTTTTAATATTAGTGAAGTTCATCTAGTCAGTATTAATTTTTTTTAAATAATAAGGTTCCGACAGAACTTATGACCCGACTAAGTATATAGGGGGATTGAAACGGTGCACAATTGTCGGTACGGTACATATTTCTATCTTGCGAATGTGTGAGTTTAGCGACAGTGGTTCTGGTACAAATTACGCGATTTGCTATTTCCTCTTGTTTTTTTTTTAAATTCCGTGGTAAGGCTTTAATCAATGATTTCAAAATTAAGTTAATTTTGCCGTATTCTACCTGCTACCGGAACATAATATGGCGTAGCAGTATAAGAACAAATTAATAATAAAATATTTATTGTTTATATAATTATTATATATGTCGTGTGCATTTTCCAAAAACCTACGTACACCCTTAACCTTTCTCACAGATCATTTTTATCTTCTGCAATGGTTGCCTGGTAGAGATCGCTCCTAAGCGATAAGGTCGCCAATTGTACTTTTAAATAAATTATGTTTTCTTTTCTCATATGTATTTTTTGGTGTACAATAAAGTATATTTCATTCATTCATTTATCGATCTTTTAAAAAAGTATGGAAATAAAATAAGCAACTTAACCCTTTCGCTGACCCTGTTTTAACCTCATGTAGTCGAAGACTCGCTCGCAGAGATCTGGACAGATTTCTCGATGGATATTTTTTTTGTAGGGCTCTTACCGTAGATAACGAATTGCTAATATATGCGAGAATTAAGGTATCCCCACAGGAAAAAATCATATGGGGTTAGGTCCGTCGATCTAGGTGGCAGTCGATGTCATCAAAGCGGCTTATTAGAAATACTCCTTACTTTCACTCTTGAGTCTTTAGCGGTATGTGCCGTGACCTCATCCTGCTGGAAATGTATTCTTTATTAAAGCCAGCATAGTTACGTAGCTCCGGTATAAAAAAGTGGTCCGGCATCTCGCAGTATCTTTCTTCAGTGACGGTTCCACGTTCGCCAAAAATAAGGGCCGGTAATGCTGTGAATAGAAATGGCACACCAAACTGTTGTCTTCAGGTTGTGCAGAGGCTTTTGTATTTTTTGCATTCTGTGAGAGCATGGTCCTTCCCGGGATATTCCGTTTATTCACCCTGCGGCTATTATATACGTGGTAGAGCCATGCTGCAGCTATATTAGTAGTATAGTTGTAGCACGAATGAGTTGGCTCGACCAGGGAAGGACCACGCTTTCACAGAATACCAGCGTAAAATAGCAGCATAAAACTGATGTGTTTCGTATGGTGAGTGTGGAGAACCGGAGAACCTTTTTACTGGGAAAGACGCATTCCATCTTAGTCCTCACGGGTGACAACGCATCTGTATTTTGATTCGCAAACGAGGATAGATGTACATGTCTATGGGTCACAGCAACCACTTCCCATCAGATGGACTGTGTGCTCGTTTGTCACCCTATCCTATAAAAAAAATCGGAATTCGTATATTATTTTGCGTAACTCTACTACATATAGGTCATTGCTATTGTCTTACTATTAGAGATAAGACGTATTTACGCTACCAGGTTTTAAAACCAGGATTTCACTTCGAATTAGGCCCTGGTACGACCAGAAAATACTTGCAAGTATGAAGGTATGTGCTATAATTCGAATGCAGGAAGAACTTGAAACACCAGATATGAAAATATTTGTATAGGAAAACGATCAATATATTCATATGAATAAGAAACACAATACTTTGAACTTCCAAGTATTTTTTCACTCATATGATTGTGTCCTTATTCATCATAGGACTATACGGAATACGGATCGATTTTCTATGCAAGTATTTACAACTTTGGACGCTGAGGACACATCGCGAGCAGCGCAGTGATCGGGCGGGACGTACAGGAATGTGGCACAACACGAACAAATGATTTCAAGTATTTTAAAACCGGGTTTTCGACCCTGGTATTTTTACGTACACGTACTTATAAGCCCTGGTATTGAATTTTGCAAGTATATCTTATCCCTACTTACTATTGTGTCTGAAAACCGGACAGTGAAAGTGTTAACAAAATTCATTAATGTACTACGAATACCTATCCCTGTAATACCCTTATGATTTATATTGAAGTCAGTATTCAAATTCTCATTCCAATATTGCGTAATTATGCATAAATATTATAACTCTTTGAATGTAATTCAGTAATTAAATACCATAACCTTACATACTGGAGAACTAACAGTCAATCTACAAACAACCAGTATAACATTTTAGTGGCGTTGTAAGAATATCCACTTGCCAAGCGTGCCAACTGCGGCAAAACATTCCTTATGATGCAATATGAACTTTTATAGGCCGTAATGGAACAGTCACAGGAAGGTATATGTAGTATTGCATCTATTTATGACATGATTGCTCCAAATAGGCTTCGGCTTTACTTTATGCTTCCTTTGTTTTTAATATTCCGTGCATGATCCCCTTCAGGCAGCTGGGCGTTGACCCAGCAATCGTCATCAATCGCTGGTGGTAACGCCGTTGTGTAGTGCCGGTGTAAGAATATCGAAAATTTAATATTAATACCTAAATAATAAATTGTCGATATCTATTGTCGATATATTTGATTTTTTCATTAACTTTTAGAGTTTGTAATTTGTATTTTTGTGGAAAGGCACTGCAGACATAAGAAGAGGTGCTGATCTGTGAATATTTAACTGTGTGATAGCGGTGTAAGAATATCCACTACCCCATATCGACCCGTGGGAGTCCTAAGAGGCGACAGAGGGAAACAAACCAGGAGATAGGCAGCAGCGTCTTCCTAATAACAACTACAAAATAAAAAAGCTGGGTTAGCCAACCCCCATGCCAACTATGGCAATTATAGCAAATATCCACTCTATGAGGCAATCTATGGGGAAGGCCTATGTTCAGCAGTGGACTTTAATAGGCTGTAATGGTAACAGTTACGGACTTATGGTATACAGATGTATAGATTAATAGACTGACAATTTTGTTGCAATAGCGTCAGTAGTATTGATTATATCACAGAATATATATAGATAATATTTAATGTAGGCTGTCGCTAAGCTGTTGGTCCTATTGATTTTAATATTGGCGTCATAAGTGAGGCCTATATAGTAGTGGACTTTTGGTAGTCTGTAACGGTGACTGCTTTGTTTTTTATAGGATAGGGTGACAAACGAGCACACAGTTCACGTGATGGTAAGTGGACTCGATTAAGAATCAAAATGCAGTTGCCTTTGTCATCCCTGTGGACTGAGATGGAATGCCTCGTTTCCAGTAAAAAAGGTCTCCGGTTCTCTACACTCACCATACAAAATATAGCAGCATTAAGCTGCTATATTACGCTGGTATTTTGTGAGAGCGAGGTCCTACCCCGGTCGAGTGGACCCATTCGTGCTACAACGACAATGTAGCTGCAGCGTGGCTCTACCATGTATACGACATTTAAGGAATAAAGGGATAAAAAATACAATGTTGTCGATTAAAATTTACAATTTCATAAAACCCAAACGGTAGTTTTAAATTTATTATTAAGCTTTCATATATAATCACAAGTTAATGAAATTTAGTTTCTCTTCCTCCGCGACGTCTAATTGTATAGGCTCCAAATCTTCGCTGCTCCAGTCGAAGTCAATGCCGGTCACTTCCTTGAACCAGTCGTGGTAGTGGCCAGGGCGCACGTAAGCTGCAATTTGGAATATCACGAATTAAACATAATGCCAACTATTCGAATTAAATTTTGTAGTCCGAATCTTTTTTTTTAAAAATATTTAACAATATCTAATGCTCAGAGAATTAATCGAGTCGAACACGAGTTTTATAAAATTGAAGTGAGATTTGTCACTTATAATACGTAGTACTATTATTTATTGCTTTTAGTTCACCCGATGATAAGCAGCTACATACTGCAGCCTATGAATACTAGCAACTAAAGCACGATCGCGGAGCAGGATTTTTTTTATTGCTTTGCATTTTTAAACTTTATTGCCGCCACAAAAAGTTTTATTTCTATTGTAACAAGATAGTTTTAGGACATTTTGAACAGTATAATATGTGATTCGAAAACCGAGATTATTTTCAAGTTATTAAAGTTCACATTTTAAAATTCTTCCTGCTCCGCGATCACGCCATAACTTCAAAAAAGGCTACTACAGATGCGTCGTTACTACGCATCTGTATTCTGTAGCATTTTTACTACTACAGATGCGCAGTATAACAACTAACAACGCATCTGTTGTACTAGCTGAAACCGGCAGACATTGTCCTGCCAGTTAATAATCATAGGTTGTGTTCAGCAACGTTTTATAGCGCATGCAATTTAATTTATTAATTGCCGCGTTTGATTAAAAAAAAATCAATAAAATTTTTTTTGTTTGTTTCTAGATTTCTTTTTCAATTTTTATTACTTTATAAATATAAAACTTCTCCATTCAATAATACATAAAATATATACCAATTTTCATGGTCAGCATCTTCTTTTATATATAGATAGATAGAGACACCTAGAACAAGTATTTGTAGGACATACAATAAACACTTATATTAGTGCCGAGAGCCACGAAAGCATACCTGAAGGGTAAGGACTGTTGCAGCCGGCGTTGGAACCGAAGCTCACTACTCCCACCATTGTTGGCTTGCCATCCACATCTACCACTGTAAGTGGCCCACCGCTGTCACCCTGCAACCCACCACAAGATTTTTTATATATTATGATTTTGCTTTGGTACAAGTATCAAAGTATCAGACTAATACATCCGGAGCGTGTCGTAAGTCCATAAGGGATGTCAATCTAAAAATGCAAAATAAACCGGCAAGTCCCAAATCCCAGTAATGCCAGACCAGTAGTTGAGAAATGCTGTAATTCTTCCAGCATTAAGCTGTTTTTATATTTTCTACTTCTCTTTCTTCTTCTATAAGTTTCCCCGATTTCGTCCGCGTGGAATTTATTACGATTGAATTTCATGGGTTTTAATTTTTTTTAGCCGTGTAGTGGCGGTTAAGAATATCCACTACCCCATATCTTCCCGTGGGTGTCGTAAAAGGCGACAAAGGGAAACAGGCAGGAGATGGGCAGCAGCATCTTCCTGATAATAGCCAAAATAACAATAAAAAAACTGCGGTTGCCAACCCGCTCGCCAAGCGTGGCAACTATGGCAATATACCCCCCATGAGCAATGACAATAATAAACGGCCCCCAGTCCCCGGCGGCCCCGCTATTCCTGGCTACGGTGGCGACCATGGTAACGGCGGGGCAGGGGGTGCTAAGAATCTCCGGTGGAGGTTCGGTTGCCACCTACGACGACTCGACCTGGCAACATACAACGCACGCACCCTGAGGACTGACGAGAAGATTGTGGAGCTGGAAGAAGAGATAGACAAGTTACGCTGGCATATTATAGGATTATCCGAAGTCCGAAGAGAGGGAGAGGACACGGTAATCCTCGAATCCGGCAACTTGCTCTATTACCGGGAGGGTGACCATCTGTCCCAAGGAGGTGTCGGATTTATCGTCCACAAGTCTCTCGTTAACAACGTTGTAAAGATTGAGAGTGTGTCGACGAGGGTTGCGTACCTTATACTCAGAATCACCAAACGGTATTCGCTGAAGGTCATACAGGTTTACGCACCAACCTCGGCACACCCCGATCAGGAGGTGGAGGAAATGTATGAGGATATCTCTAGAGCCATGCATTCCTCCAAAACCCAATATACGGTGTTAATGGGAGACTTCAATGCAAAACTAGGCAAAAGAGAGAACGGTGAGCTGAAAGTAGGGAAATTTGGAATAGGGCAACGGAACCCAAGGGGCCAGCAGTTGGCTGACTTCATGGAGAAAGAGGGACTCTTTATGATGAACTCTTTCTTCCAGAAGCGGCCCCACAGGAAGTGGACGTGGTCGAGCCCCGACGGTTCGACAAAAAATGAGATTGACTTCATTATGACGACCAGACGACAACTGTTCAGTGATGTCTCAGTGATCGCGAGGGTGAAAACCGGCAGCGATCACCGAATGGTTAGAGGCACACTGAACCTAAACGTTAAGTTGGAGAGGTCTCGTCTAATGAAGTCAACGCTCCGTCCCCCTCGTGCTCTAATCCAAAGTCCCGAAACCTTTCAGCTCGAGTTACAAAACCGTTTTCAGTGCCTAGAAGACTGCAATGAAGTGGACGATTTGAATGACAAGCTCGTGGAAACTGTCCATGCGGTCGGAGCTAAGTTCTGCAAGACCCGCCGCAGAAGAACACAAAAACTCTCCGATCACACTCTTAATCTCATGGCTGTTAGACGGGAGATGAAGCTACATTCTTCAACAGATTTGACAGCATACAGGCAACTGAACAGACAGATCTCCAAATGCATGCGGCGGGACTTACGCAACTTCAATACAGCTCGTATTGAAGAAGCGATCGAGCGGAACCAAGGCTCCAAAGTCTTTGCCAGAGATCTGTCTGCCAGAAAGCGCCAACTGTCCAAGCTGAGGACAGAATGTGGCAGCATCGTTTCCGGGGCACCTGAGATTTTGAGTGAGATTGAGAGGTTCTATGGGCAGCTGTACACGTCATCGTTGGAGCCGCACGCAAGTGTGAGTAACGATCCAAGAGCGAGTCTTATCCGACATTATTCCGATGATATCCCGGACGTCAGTCTGAGCGAGATTAGAATGGCTCTCCAGCACCTTAAAAACGGCAAGGCCCCAGGCGAGGATGGAATTACACCGGAGCTTCTGAAAGCGGGTGGAAAACCGGTACTTGAAGTCCTTCAGAAGCTCTTTAATTCCGTCCTCCATGGTGGCATTACACCGGAGGCGTGGAGCAGAAGTGCGGTGGTCTTGTTCTTCAAGAAAGGCGACAACGCTCTCTTGAAGAACTACAGACCGATTTCCCTTCTGAGCCGCGTCTACGTGCTGTTTTCGAGAGTCATTACGAATCGTCTCGCGCGCAGACTTGACGACTTCCAGCCTCCCGAACAAGCCGGTTTCCGAAAAGGCTTTAGCACCATAGACCACATACATACCCTTCGGCAAATTGTACAGAAGTCCGAGGAGTACAATTTGCCACTATGTCTGGCGTATGTGGACTATGAGAAAGCCTTTGATTCCGTAGAAATTTGGGCCGTGCTGCAGTCTCTTCAGCGATGCCAAGTTGACTGTCGGTATATCGAAGTGTTGAAGTGCTTGTACAGTAGGGCTACGATGGCTATCCGAGTACAGAACCAGAGTACGAAACCTATCCAATTGCAGAGAGGTGTAAGACAGGGTGACGTCATATCTCCGAAACTCTTTACCGCTGCATTGGAAGATGTTTTCAAGCTTCTGGACTGGAAAGGATACGGTATCAACATCAATGGCGAGTACATCACTCACCTTCGATTTGCCGACGATATAGTCCTTATGGCAGAATCGCTGGAGGACCTAAGCACTATGCTCAATGACCTCAATAGTGTTTCCCAATGGATAGGTCTTAAGATGAACATGGACAAAACAAAGATCATGTTTAATGTCCATGTCACACCTATGCCGGTAGTTGTTGGGAACACTAAGCTCGAAGTTGTTGACGAGTATGTTTACCTGGGACAAATAGTCCGACTAGGTAAGTCCAACTTCGACCGAGAGGTCAATCGACGGATTCAACTCGGTTGGGCAGCGTTCGGGAAATTACGGCACATCTTCTCGTCAGGTATACCTCAAAACTTGAAAACGAGACTGTACACCCAGTGCGTGTTGCCAGTGATGACATACGGAACTGAGACGTGGTCCTTCACTGCTGGCCGGATGAGGAAGCTCAAGGTCGCTCAGCGAGCTATGGAGAGGGCTATGCTCGGAGTTTCTCTGCGTGATAAGCTCAGAAATGAGGATATCCGCAGTAGAACTAGAGTGACCGACATAGCCCAACGGATTAGTAAGCTGAAGTGGCAATGGGCCGGCCATATAGCTCGAAGAACCGACAACCGATGGGGAAGAAAGGTTCTCGAGTGGCAGCCTCGTACCGGCAGGCGAAGTGTAGGGCGTCCCCCCACTAGATGGAGTGACGACCTGGTTAGATATGCAGGAGGTCGATGGATGCAGGTGGCTCGGGACCGTGCTTTGTGGCATTCTTTGGGGGAGGCCTATGTTCAGCAGTGGACTTGTGAAGGGCTGTAATGATGATGATGATGATGAATTTTTTTTTTGCGCGGAACCATAATTATTTTTCTAAAATAAAAGTAGCCTAAGTTACTCATTATAACATCAGCTATTTGCCAGTGAAAGTCCCGATAAAATCGGTCCAACCATTTCGGAGATTAGACGAAACAAATAGACAGATAAGTGCCGTATATATGTATACCTAATTTCATATGCATTTACTAAAAAGCAGTTATTTTGACATTACAAATAGACACTTCAATTTTATTTATTGGTGTAGATATACTGCCGCACTGAGAGCGCGAAACTGTTTCGTTTCTATATACCAACTTTACCTACCATCTAAAATAAAGGAGGGATGTATCCAACAAAGGGATGTTCACCACGCTTCACTTTAACTTTGACCACAGATTAAGTAATATTTACTACGAAACTTTACCTTCTGCGTAAAGTTATTAAACTTCTTAAAATGCACTTTTATAGGGTTCCGCTCCCAATTTTTATATTCAAGTCAATTTTTATACCATAGTTGCCAAGCGTGGCACCTGGTTTGGTAACTGCAGTTTTTTTTTATTATTAGGTTACTAGCCGTTTCCCGCGACTTCGCTCGCGTGTTACGGTTTTTATGTTTTTGGGCGGAACCCTAATTCTTTTTCTAAAATAAAAGTAGCCTAAGTTACTCCTTATGAAATCAGCTATCTGCCAGTGAAAGTTCCGTCAAAAGCGGTCCAGCTGTATCGGAGATTAGCCGGAACAAACAGACAGACAGACAGACAAAAATTTTAAAAATTGTATTTTAGTTATAAGTGCCCTATTTACTTTCATATGGATTTAGTAAAAAACTGTAATTTTGACATTACAAACAGACACTTCATTTTTATTTATTTGTATAGATTATCAGAAGGTTGCCGCTGCAACAGCAGGATGCACCGATGTGACGGCACGAAACTACCTAGATAGTGGAAATTTCGATCTGACACTACACAGTACTAAATAGAATAAAATTATAGAGTTAAAATCAGCAATTTGTCTCCACTTAATACGTGGTTTTTAATACGTAGTAGAGCCATGCTTCAGATACATATTAAGTATAGTTGTAGCACAAATGGGTCGGCAAGGACCATGTTCCATCTTAGTCCTCAAGGGTGATGTCGCATCTGTATTTTTATTCTTTATTGAGGATAGATGAAGATGTCTATGGGCCATAGCATACACTTACCATCAGGCATTAGGTGGACTGTGTGCTCGTTTGTCACCCATATTCCATAAAAAATTTATTCCCAAGAAGAAAGTAGAAAAACCTGGCATGATGATTGTGCAGTATCGTTGTAGTACGCGGCGCAGATGGTCTCCTCCTTGATGACGGTGCTGTTGGGGTACCAGCGGCGGCACTCCTGGTTGCTGATGCCGAGCAGGTACACCCATCGAAGCACTTCCGATGCTACTCCGCCTTTAGTTAGAGTTAAATTATGTGGTTTAAATAATGAATATTCAACTGCGAAATTCACTATTACCCAGTGAACTAGTAGTAGTGGTTTCTCGAACAAGCGCTTTAGCATTTTTTTTGCCGTTTTCAGAATTAGAAATCAATAACCATTACCGTTCCAAGCGTCGTCGGTTCTACCGAAGCCGCTGACGGTCAAGCGGACGTTCGTGTAGTCGATGTTCTTTTGCTCGCTGTTCTGCAGACGACACGGCTGGATGAATTCTGTGAAATGCCAGTTTAATTTAGTAATTATTGATGCAGTATAGTCGTAGTTTTACTAATTGGTTTTATAATATTATTATGTATCGCACGCGGACGTGCGTACCTTACTATTACTATCCGTTCGGGCCTATGAAATCTAGCGCTGTTGTTTCGGCAGTAGAATAAGTTGAGTGAGATCCTCGTGAGCCTAACGCGCCACAACCCACATGAGGAACATATTTAATTGTAATTTATACTTTTGTTAAATGTAGGTAATATTTGTCAAGATTTTTGTCACAAATATTTATATTTTAATGCTTAATTATGTGTGTGGAGTGTTCGCAATAAATTTGATTTTTTATACGTTATGGTAATATTTAGTTATTGTTGTGTAATGACGGCGAAAGAATATCAAATACCCCATATCATCCTGCGAGTTTCGTAAATGGCGACGGAGGTAAATTGAAGCATCCGCTATGAGGTAATCTTTGACTTGACTTCAGACATGTTCAGCAGTAGACTTTTAGTAGGCTGTGACAAATGAATGAATGATGAATAAATTGGACAGAGATATATGTTAATGATAGAGGATATTCTTACGCCGGCAATATATAGCGCTCGGTGACTATACCATAGCCTGATAATAAGCAGATGGCATGGTCAAGGATATCAGGTGAACTGTGTGCTCGTTAGTTGTAGGCTTACTTATATAAAAAGTAGAATAATGTGTGGGACCTGCATATATATATATATATATATCATATATGTGTATATGTGGGACGGCTTAAGCTGTGGCAAAGCGTGGCGCCTACCCGTATAACTCAAGCAACCGACTGTTGCAGTTGTATTTACGCATCACATGAGTTCTCAGAACCGGTAACAAAGTTAAACATGCAACCCTAATACCTTTTCTCTTAATAAAATGTTTGATATTTGATTGTAACAATAACTTTGTTTTTCCCTCATGAACTCATGCAAAAGTTAGATCGATTTTAGCGAGTGACGAATACAGTGTAGCGATAAACAACTGAGTTTAGCGGCAATTTATTATTGCAAAACTGTACTGCATATTATTTAAGAATAAATAAAAAAACTGTTATCGGACAATAAATCCTCCTTCGTAAGAGGTTTATGTAAAAAATTAGACTTACTTCCGTACGGTATGTAGTGTTCCAAGCCGAGCAGTGCGATGTCATCGGTCTGTACACCGGCGCGTATCTCATCGTATCCCGGGTGTATGAACTTGCGCGTCGACTCCACGAGGAACTCTGGTCGGGTGAGGTTTGTCAGCCCGAAACGGACCACGAACGTGACGCGACTGGTTGTCCAAATATGTCGTGTATAAGTTTTAATAGTTACTTTTAACAACAACAAAAACAATTTGCAGGAAGAGGACAACCTTACCAAACGCGAGTCCTACGAGTGGGACCTGACTATTAGTCATAGAGTTAATACATTGTTATTTATTCGCATTAAATATAGATATAACAATATTGCTGTGTAGAGGTGTGTTTTATACGTGGAAGAGCCCTGCTGCAGCTATATTAGTAGTATAGTTGTAGCACGAATGGGTCGGCTCGACCGGGGAAGCACCACGCTCTCACAGAATACCAGCGTAAAATAGCAGTTTAACACTGCTGTGTTTCGTATGGTGAATGTAGAGTAACTTTACTGAAAACGAGGCATTCCATCTTAGTCCTCACGGGTGACAACGCATCTGCATTTTAATTTGCAAACCAGGATAAATGTATATGTCTATGAGCCACAGCAACCACTTACCATCAGGTGGACTGTGTGCTCGTTTGTCATCCTTATTCTATTTAAAAAAAACTCAAATGTAGATATAGAATATTTATCAAGAAAAAATGCTTTAAAATAAGTTGCAAAAAGTGTTCCCTTCTCACTTCTCTGAGAGAGGAAAAATTACCACAAATATGGCGGTAGTTCAATGCACATATATTGGACTACCGCCATGCCGGACTTAACACACGTCCAAAAGATGTTTTGTTATAATTTCTTAGATTATCTAACTTATATTTCCGACGTTTCGAGTACGTTACAGTACATATGGTCACGAGGAGACTGAGATGTAAGGTGCGATAAAATCCGCGAAAAATAGTTTCATTTAAATGTGTAGTGTTCGCGTAAACATAAGTTTTCATTGAAAGAGCAAGAACACGTGGTAAATCAGCACTTAAAATTGCAATTATTAATTTGATTGGTGCTGTCGGGGATCAAACCCAGATCGTTCGCGTACTATGAAATTTAATTTAAGGCTTGTATTAAGCTAATTGCTCAAAAGTTTAACTTTTTTACTTAACCTATACAAATAAATAAATTTGAAGTGTCTGTTTGTAATGTTAAAATAACAGCTTTTTACTAAATACATATGAAAGTATATACGATACTTATAACAAAATAACAATTTTTTAAATTTTTGTCTATCTGTCTGTTTGTTTCGGCTAATCTCCGAAACGGCTGGACCGTTTTCGACGGGACTTTCACTGGAAGATAGCTGATGTTATAAGGAGTAACTTAGGCTACTTATATTTGAGAAAAAGAATTAGGGTTCCGCGCAACATAATTAAAACCCTAAATTACACGCGGGCGAAGTCGCGGGGAACAGTTAGTATTTAATAAAAGGTTTTAATAGTCAAAACTATCAATATTCGAAATTGGTAGTAAATATTAAGAAATAGGCTTAATAGAATCCATTACCCCTTTTCTTACCATGGGTGTCGTAAGAGTATTGGAAATTCTAGAAAGATCTTATTGCCTGCCCAGGCCGAGAAGAAGTCCTACCACCTAGCAAATTGGTTATTGTTTTAAAAGAAGATATACATACTTGGCGAGACAGTGCGCTGCCGTGAGCACCCACTCGTTGTGGATGATGGAGCCGCCGCATGAACTCACTTGGCCGTTATCCCGCACCATACGGATGCTCACTTGGTGAGGGATCTGCCCCTCTTCAGCCTCCCAGCCTGCTACGATCCTCGAATCACCTGTAATAAAACTTAAATATATTATGATCTCACAGCCAATACGAACACGAAGGTTGTAAATAGCAATTAAAATATCAACAGCTCAATCATCGGTTTATTGGAAACTACACCAGGTCGATGATGACGGGCCGGTGCCCGCTGAAACATATATCTTTGAGGTTTGAGGTAATACGACATACGTAGGTATGTCGTATTATCTAAAACTCCCCTTGTCCTGATTCGCTCAACAAATGCAGGAAGCGAGGTAATGTTTTCATATCTACACACCGAAATATAAGAAGTACATACGTTTTACAGTATATAAATAAAAAATAAAAAATTTTGTACAACCGACTTCAGTATAAGTCATTAAGAATAACTCAAAAACTATTGGTCAGACCTTGATCAAATTTATAGACCACAAGACCACATGTGAAGCACCAGCTTTCAAATAAAAAAGAATCATCGAAATCGGTTCACCCAGTAAAAAGTTATGAGGTAACACACATAAAAAAAACATACAGTCGAATTGAGTACCGGCTCCTTTTTGAAGTCGGTAGAAAAAGGTACTTAGCATGTGCGTACCTCTAGAAATGTGTGCAAAAACACACCTCTCACACACTTTGAAATTACGTGTAACCGATGTATATGAATTTGTTATCGCTTGGTGGCAACATCATGGGGGGGGGGGGGGGGTATTTGTCATAGTTGCCACGCTTGGCGGTTTCCGAAAAGGCTTTAGTACCATAGACCACATACACACCCTTCGGCAATATGTACAGAAGACAGAAGAGTATAATATGCCACTTTGCCTTGCGTATGTGGACTATGAGAAAGCCTTTGATGCCGTCGAAATTTGGGCGATGCTGCAGTCCCTTCAGCGGTGCCAAGTTGACTGTCGGTATATCGAAGTGCTGAAGTGTTTGTACAGTAGAGCTACGATGGCTATCCGAGTACAGAATCAGAGTACGAAACCTATCCAACTGCAGCGAGGTGTAAGAGAGGGTGACGTTATATCCCCGAAACTCTTCACCGCTGCATTGGAAGACGTTTTCAAGCTACTGGACTGGAAAGGATGCGGTATTTAACATCAATGGCGAGTACATCACTCACCTTCGATTTGCCGACGATATAGACCTTATAGCAGAATCACTGGAGGAGCTAAGCACTATGCTCAATGACCTCAATAGTGTCTCCCAACGGATAGATCTTAAGATAATCATGGACAAAACAAAAATCATGTTTAACGTCCATGTCACACCTATTCCGGTAGTTGTTGGGAGCACTAAGCTCGAAGTTGTTGACGAATATGTTTACCTGGGACAAATATTCCGACTATAGGTAAGTCCAACTTCGACCGAGAGGTCAATCGACGGATTCAACTCGGCTGGGCAGCGTTAGGGAAACTACGACACATCTCCTCGTTAGACATATCTCAAAACCTTAAAAAGAAATTGTACAACCAGTGCGTGTTGCCAGTGATGACTTACGGATCTGAGACGTGGTCCTTCACTGCTGGCCGTATAAGGAAGCTCAAGGTCGCTCAGCGAGCTATGGAGAGGGCTATGCTCGGTGTTTCTCTGCGTACTGACATAAACTTAGTAATGAGGATATCCGCAGTAGAACTAGAGTAACCGACATAGCCCAACGGATTAGTAAACTGAAGTGGCAATGGGCCGGCCATATACTCGTAGCTCGAAGAACCGACAACCGATGGGGAAGGAAGGTTTTCGAGTGGCAGCCTCGTACCGGTAGGCGAAGTGTAGGGCGACCCCCCACGAGATGGAGTGACGACCTGGTAAGACATGCAGGAAGTCGATGGATGCAGGTGGCTCAGGACCGTGCTTTGTGGCATTCCTTGGGGGAGGCCTATGTTCAGCAGTGGACTTATGAAAGGCTGTAATGATGATGATGATGATGATGGTGGCAACATAAGGGAATCCATCACCACATTTCATCCTGCAGGTGTCGTGAAAGGCGACTATCATTTTTTTAATAGAATAAATGTGACAAACGGGCACCCAGTTTAATTTTTTTTTTACATGGGGAAATGCCTACACATACCCGCCTCGCGGGGGCAAGGACGGGTTATGTCGGACTCGCAGCGACTAAAATCCCATGGTGTGCCACCTTCGCCGCATATTGGCAGGGCCATGGGAACGCTTTCACACACATCAGCGACCCCACCAGCGCCGGCCTATGGCAGCCCCTTCGCAGGGGAGGGCCTCACCTCCCCATTCTCCTTCTCAGACAAGGCGCACCAGGAACACAAGGCACGCCCCCTCCACGGCCTCCAACTCCACCTGCGTATCGGACCCCCCGAGGCCGATACGCGGAGGCCATGGGGCCAGGAAAATCGAGCGCTTAGTAGCACCAGTAGTCTCTGGCTCCGCCGAAAACAATGTTTCGGCCGCGGAGGGTAGGGAGAGCGGCGCCTCGCAATACCAACACTCCTCTTCCTCCGCGACTCCACCTCGGTTACAGCGGTAGGGGGAGAGGACATCCCTCTCACTGCAGCCCACCGACACATATCCGAAGTGGGCTCGCCAAGCCCACTCGGAGTGGCCACCTAGGGCTAGGGCCAGCCAAGGGGTTCCTCTTTGTTCACCGCGGGTGACCAAGGCACGGCTACTGAGCCCCCCACCACGACCAAGGCGCGAATCCGTTCGGGGGGACACCCAGTTTACCTAATGGTGAGCGGATGCTGAGGCCCACAGACATCTATGTCCTCCTTGATTAAGAATCAAAATGCAGATATGTTGTCACCCTTGAGGACTAAAATGTAATGTCTCCAGTAAAAAGGATCTCCGGTTTTCTACACTCACCATACGAAACAGCAGTAATAAGCTACTATTTGTACCTACAAGGCATTCTATCTTAGTTTTCAGGGGTGACAGGGAGGAACACATCTACATTGTTTCTTGACACTTACCATAAAGTGGACTATAGGCTCGTTTCTCACTTTTATTCTATAAAAAAGTAGTCATAATAATGAACAAACATGTTATGTCGTAAATGTAGATGAGAAGGATAAATTGTCGAAATTAATTACGAAATTATATTTACCTCGCCGCAAATCCTCGATGATAGCGGGCTGAGCTGGTTTTGAAACGGGTCCGCCCTGGAATCATTATCTTTCGATGACTTTTCCCTTTTTAGGATCAAAGGTACATCTTATCTTTAACAATACAAATAAATTAACGACTATGAAAGGCGATTGATGAAAGAGATTGAAAAAAGAGATAGATTTATCTAAACGCATATGTTACTTCAATTCTTTTTAAGATTCGGAGTTGGTTAATACATAAATTTTATTATATTTTTAGTACGATTTTGACCCCAACTCTAGAAACATCTATATATAAAAATCATTGGCTGTCCGTAAGTTTTTTTTTGTAGGATAGGGTGACAAACGAGCACACAGTCCACCTGATGGTAAGTGGTTGCTGTGGCCCATAGACATCTACATCTATTCTCGTTTGCGAATCAAAATGCAGATGCGTTTTCAGCCGTGAGGACTAAGATGGAATGCCTCTTTTCCAGTAAAAAGGGTCTCCGGATCTCTACACTCACCATACGAAACACAGCAGTGTTAAGCTGTCATTTTACGCTGGTATTCTGTGAGAGCGTGGTCCTTCCCCGGTCGAGCCGACCCATTCGTGCTACAACTATACTACTAATATAGCTGCAATGCACGTGGCTCTACCACGTAAATGTAAGTCTCGCAAAAACTCGAAAATGGCTCGATCGATTCTGATGAGATTTTTTGTGTATTTGAGTGGGTCCCAGGATGATCTAAACAATTCACAATTGTTAGTGGTAGCGGCGCTATTGTCGAGATCCAGAAATCACGCGTGCGAAGCCGGGGCGAAACGCTAGTATAATAAAAATGTAAATATCCGGTCTACGTTGAATATTGTTGGGACGAAAATGACTGACATGTAAAATAGACTTCTAATTAAACGAACACCGTTTTAACCTAACCCAAGAAAATAGTAAATGGTTTTCATCAAATATATCAAAATAATGAAGATAATGCATGCATTGAGATTGCAGTGTGTTGCAGCAATGGCGCGTAAGATGTGTCGTAAGAGGCTATTGAGAGAAATAAAACGGGAGATGGACTGCAGCATCTTCCTGAGAATAATTCAATAATAAAAAAACAACCCGAATCCCGAATTGGTTTCGAATTCGGGGTTGGGGCTTTATTACATTTTCAGTTCAAGATATCCTCAGGAGTAGCTGGAGGTCAGGAAGATAGCGGTGCTTCACCCCGTGCCTAGGAATACACGTGACACCGTAGGTCCTGCGCCTGATCTCTCTCCAGTCGTGTCGGATTGTCGTCATAGCGGACTATGAGAGTGAATGAATGAAGTTCCATGTGCATCTGTGGACTTTTGGTAGGCTCTAAAATATTTACCATAAATATGTAATTTATCATAATATAAAATATTTATATACCTGAGCGAAACCGAAAACGAAGAGTAGAGCCAAAATGTATACGCCCGCCATCATTATTAGTAAGTAACTAATTAAGAACGCAACAAACAAATTCTTAAAACGGTTATCGGCGAATTAACCAATATCAAGGTTTTTAAAAAGATAATTATTGATTGATGTGCAAAATATATCTAGATTAAATTACATGAGGTAGATTTATAGAGTAAGTGATTTCAAATCTTTTACGCTATGTTATAAAAGCGCTTTATCAAGCGTTTAGTTGCTGTCCGGTTGGCATGGTGCAAAGGTCCTGCACAAGTTTCTTCTACGGTTTTTTTATTTTATAGGATAGGGTGACAAACGACAACACAGTCCACCTGATGGTAAGTGGTTGCTGTGACCCATAGACATCTACATCTATCCTCGTTTGCGAATCAAAATGCATTGCGTTGTCACCCGTGAGGACTAAGATAGAATGCCTCTTTTCCAGTAAAAAAGGTTTCTGGTTCTCTACACTCACCATACGAAACACAGCAGTGTTAAGCTGCTATTTTACGCTGGTATTCTGTGAGAGCGTGATCCTTCCCCGGTCGAGCCGACCCATTCGTGCTACAACTATACTACTAATATAGCTGCAGCATGGCTCTACCACATACAATTCTGTTGAGTAACGTAAAAATCTTCTGTTTTGCGTTGTTGTTTAGGACACATTCCATGTTGAGATCTTTAGTGTTTAGCTCACTGTATCTATACATATAGTTGTCGATCCACTGGGCACTCTCGTGTTTATACTTTTAAATTAAGATATATTGTTGATAGCAAAAAGGTGTAAAAAAAATATTTTATTTTATAGAATAAGGGTGATAGTCCACACAGTCCATCTGACGGTAAGTGGATGCTGTGGACCACAGACAACTACATCTATCCTCAAATATGAATCAAAATGCAGAGCGTTGCCACATTTGAGGACTAATATGGAATGCCTCGTTTTCAGTAAAAAGGGTCAACGGTTCTCTCTCTCGGTCCTACCCCGGTCGAGCGATCCCATTCGTACTGTAGCTGTAAATAAGGGTGAAATAAACAAAACCAGTATCAAAATATAACAGACTATTTATTTTATCTAAGTACAATTGTTATACAAATGTGTTAAGATACAAAATATCACATCGTTTTCAGAACGTATTTAAATCTACGTCTGTAGTTAACTTTCGTATTTTTTATTCCTCGGTTTTTTTAAAATGTATTACGTGTGACACTTAAAATTGCACATGTCCGTTAAATAATTATTTTTCCACCAGCAGTGGGTGAAAAGATTAAGACTACCCGTGAACCGTATTCAAGTCATTTACATCGTGAAGCCTCTCCGGAATTGTTATCTTGTTTTCTCTAAGAGAAAACGTTACATCCACACTAGGAATTTATCCTATAACTAAAATTTCACAAGGACAAACATTCAGATCCGGAACAATTATTCGTGGGCCATGCAAATACCTACTTGTTTCGTGGGGGATACAAACCCACGGCCCTTAGCGCTGCAACTCTAACTGCTAACAAAAGTACCCTGCATACGGTTTATTTTGTCCTCCGCCAATCAATAATACAATATTATGTATCAGTGGCGCCTGCAAAACTACAATGATTCAGTTGGAGAGGACACAGAGAGCAGTTCTAAAGGTAATATTGAAAAAGCCCCACTGGTACCCAAAGGATACGGATATGTAGATCCTGGGTATGTAGATAGCTAGGTATTGAGTGTATGCCAGTTGTATATTCTATTCGCAGTATTAAACACACACGGGCATTGAGTTATATGTACTACGTACTAGAGAAGCCATTCCGAACATTGACTATGTTCAACTGAACTGTAGTGCAATCCATACAAACTAAATATTGCGTAAATTGAAGATTTGTGAATTCCATAAAATAATTATTATTACATTTTATTTAGAAATATGTTTGTTTAGATTAAATTAAGATATTTTATATTAAATTCTTATATTTTTTTATATTAATATCTTATTTTATATTAGATTAAAGTCTTCGCGCATGCGCGACTACTACTCCCGCGCATGCGCGAAGACATAGAGTAGGACAATTTTTGTTTGGAATGGCTTCTCTAGTACGTACTACATATAACTTAATGCACACGGCCAAGTAACTCAGTCACCTAATTACCAAGTTAGTAAACGTATATTGAAAATCCCAATTCCAGCTATCAAATATGTTTTTGCTCAACGCCTACCGCAGTAATTACATCTCCATATCTATAACAGAATCCTTAAAGTCCGCGACATCAAAAATTCATTTTTCAAATTTCATTCATCACACATATTAAAAAGGTCTCTCGCCACACTCAATTTCAAATTTCATTTACAAAAAGAAATGTATGAATATGTAAAATAAATAAATAAATAAAAATGTAAGGGCAAAGAAATAATAACTATCCACTTAATTATAGGAATAATTCATCGTTTTGGACAATTTGGTTTAGTTTAACTATGTAATTAAAACTGATAACCATACTCTCTGTACTTAAAATACAGGCTATGCCTAATCTGAGGTACCCACACAATAAATATTTAAATTTAATTATAATTTAATATTAGTTCGATGTAAATGACAGATATTATTAACAAACATTTGTGGTTTTTGGATGCTATTTTACTTATGCTTTTGTATTCAACTTTGAAATGATAAATATTAAAAAAAAATCTGTACTTTATGTTCATCCGTGTAGCACTATTTTAGGAATATTTTTTATTCATAACTTGAATTCAATTCCTTCTACAATCAGACAAGGAATCGCTTGGACAGTCTCTGGCATCTGAACGAACGTCGTTCGTAATGCCTAGTATAGTATATTATCTATGCCTAGAGCCATTACTCCAAGCATTACGAACGATGTATAAACTGGAATAACTCAGCATCTGTCTTTACAAATGATTACAATGTGGGTGTCTGCAGGCAAAAGTGAATAGGCTTTTGTTAAGCTAAGTGATTGCAGTAATACAGTAGCCAGTCATTGGTAAACAGTTAAAAATAAAAAGTGTCATGAGAGACAATCAATATTGTATCAGATTTAAATCAGATATTGTAGTCTCCGATAGAATCAATCACCACGTGTTCTAAAACCAGCGATAGGAGGCAAAAATATCTAGTACTCAATCCGGATTACGTAATTGACGATTATAAATGTAAAACTCACAAATAAAGTTATATCATTTATCCCTGTGTCGTGCGTGACCCTTGTGCTTCCGGTTATTTGAATCGTAAATTTGGTTACATTGAATTTTGAATTGAATTTATTTTAATATGTTTTGGGTTTTAATTATACTAAAATATTTTACTATCTGTATCTCACTTAAAAATAAAGGTAAAAAATAAAAAGTGTTTACTGCCCCTAATATTTTAAAAGGGAATAGAAAAAAAGTTACAGTAAAATGTATACTCTAGACATTATAGAAAACTTAACCTATCAATTATTACAATCATCCAGTTTTATCTTTTACTAGCCAGAATAATACAACAATAAAATAATAACATAAAAATAATTTTATTTTTTTTACTTTGTAATTTTCGCGGGAAAACAGAAAGAAAAAACTTACACGATAGAAATGATATGGTTTTCCTAATTTTCAAATAGAATACGAAAAACAACAAAAAGAAACAGTCATTTAAATAAAATCTTATAAAATAGTTAAAATTAGTACAGATTTCTGGACATTAACACATGAAATGTCATCTTAGTCTAAGTACTTATGGAGTTTAACAGCCTCACTTTCAAGTTTTTGTTTTTTTTTTATTACAAAAGTGTTACGATTTACATAGTTAAGTAAACAGTTATCACAGTCATTATTCAAGCTAAGTAAAGTCGCCATAGTATACAATACCATTGGTACCATTGAACAATAATATTTAAAAATTTCAATCACGCATTATCCGGAAATTAAAAGACCAAAAACTTGCTACTTGCCGGATAATATATGGCGTAGTGATGTGCACAACAAGCACATGCTATCGATATTAATTCCGTGGGTAGTGATTCCTGCTCACGCACTTACTACGATAGCAAATGACTCATGTTACTCATGTACAGTATTATAAACATATTACAATATACAAAGATAAATGAAAATTAAATATACGAGTATTATTTTATTTACATTTTGTAGGCTTGTGGATAGTATTACGTCACCAACGCATTAATAAGCGTTGAAATAACACCTGTAAGAGCGAGTGAGCGCACAATATGCTCCGCTACGCTTACACGTTTTATTGCAGTGGCAAAATGTCTGAAGCATAGCCACAGTCTGACGAGCTAATATAGTAAACTTATATCTCTTTTTTCAGAAAGCTTGGAACAATGCTAGACGAACATTTTCTTGCGTATAACATACATATTTTTAAATACCATTGGTAACACAATAAAATGTTATATAAGTGTACAAACAGTTATACGAAAAGAAAAATACAATTACATATACATTTTGGTCACACAACCTTACAGATTGCTTAATATATTATATTAAGTACTATAATTATTTAAGAGTAATAAAATATTTTGCCTTTGATAATTCTGACTTAACCTAATGGTCATTAACACAAAGATTGTTCGTTAAGCACTTCCTCTGTTATATTTTTTTTTTTTATATTTGTGTGACAAATAAACAACGTTGTTACTGAAGCCGAGTAATGCCTGTAACCAACTTAACGAAATAGCCACAGATGCGCGGCAACCCTGACAATTAATATGTTCACAGCCAGAAATTATGCTGACTCTCCATATTCTTCAATAACAGGTGGCAGGAGTAGGTAAGAGGGTATTAACAACTTACACGGACTCCAAACCAGAATAAAATCCTTGTAATATATTTACATGTTAAAATAAAAATCTATTAAACATTGATATTAATCAAAATCAAAAGTAAATTATCTAAATCGTTTGAAAATAAGAATATTCGAGTATATTCCAATCGAATAAAAATACTTATTTGCATAGTTTTTTAAATTTTACATATACATTTGCTGTATAATTTATCGTTTCAAAATAATATGTACTAGTAAAATCAATGAAATTTATTTTACTGGTTATAACGAAATAACCGTTTACAATTACAATATTTAGACATAACGTTATAACGTTATTTATATATGAGATGCATTCTATAATCTGTGACGCGTTCAGAAACGTCAAACGATCATGACGCAACAGTTATGGCGGGCTCGTCTTGCCTAGCGATCAGGATCTTGTAATAGACGACCGCATCATGGACTGTGGGGAAGGTGTCCAGTTGAAGCTGCTCCGTCTCCAAGGAGTTGTAGCGTTCTATCATTTCTAAGACGGGACCTTAAAAATAATGATATTACATTTTAAATTTTCTTTAATGAATCGAAATATGTTTAAATAAATAAGTGGACAAAGAAGAAATAAAGTAGACAAAACACAATATTGAAAACAATTAAAAATATTTATATAATATATAAATTATCAAATTTTATATATAAATAATTTTTCTCTTTGATTTATTCATGAAATAGTAATAACACTTGAAATAAAACTTGTAAGAAAAGTTAACATAAGAAAAATTTATTAAATTTATTTTACGTAGGAACGTATTCAAGACAAGAGTGAATAGGCGAAAAAAAATTATTTATTTATTGTTTATTGCATTCCCTTTACATACCTTTTAATTCCAGAGGTATGCTCATAATTAAAATTTATTCTTTCGAGTATCTTAAAAATGTATTACGGATGAATCACGGAGTTTCAGGTGCGTTGGCAACCCCATCGAATACTAAGCGAATTTAAACTTTGTTTATATTACATTAGTGTGACTCACCATTTGCCCCAGCCAATAGCACTGTGATACTGTTCGAGGCGAGCTCCCTCTGGGCTGCTACCAAGCTCTTGATGCCAGGACCGTCTACATAAGACAACGCCGTGGCGTCGATGATCACACAATGTACCTGGTAATACGATGATGCATTATAAAGTTATTCACTCAGAGAATCAGATTCAATTAAAATTGTCAAAAGCCTTTTCATAATCTCTTTAAATAAAAATCAACTGATGTCCGTTAGTGTCGAAAAAACTAGAAAATGAGTCGATGGTAGGTGGTGCTGTTGTCGATATCCTAAAATGTCGAAATCACCCGTGCGAAGCCGGAGCGCATCGCTGGTAACAATATTAAAAAAAAATACACTTATAAAATAATTGATTTTGAAAAATCTAGATAAGTGTATTGACTCTTTCTATATAGATTTTTAGTTTCTTCTATGATAATCCTTACTCTAAGGTAAGGGCTAAAATCATACGCTCACCAGATGTCGCTAGTTGGGACTAAGGTGAACTTATTTGTTACGCAGATGGTTACAGTGTCATCATCACTGAAAAATGGCGATTTGATTATAAATTTTTCGGTTTCTAGTGTATGTATATACACAAAACAATGCCTCAGTGCTGTATTCTTTAAATTTTTACAAATTTTTTTAAAATTATTCTACTCTTAGGAATGTCGGTAGTTTGGTTTATCCATTTCTAATATAATTAATATAAAATATAACTAATATTTCAGAAAGAAACATTATTCTTTATACCCTTTGTAACAAATTTACTAGCCCCGCTATGAAATCTGTCAAATATTTTACGTTTTTTCCAGGTGGTAGAATAAGTTATGGATGCATAAGATGTATAAGTCATTGCTGTAAAAGACGTCATAGTTCTTGTATTTAAATAAAAAACTTATTTGTGTATTTTATATTCTCACGTAACATAACTTTAGAAGTAACGTAGTGAAAAAACTTCCATCACTTTCATACCAAAATGATCCTAATTTTTTGTATGGAACATTATTTAAGCTTATTTGCAATGAATTTAATAATACTTTTACTTCTAAAACATTCTCCTTGAACAGTCGGAAGTCATTCAATGAATGGGCGACAGTAGGAGTCCATAAGAGCAGGCATAGGTTATATGATCTTTACCATGAAAGGTCATATAATCATAGCGTCGAATTTAGGGAATATGTAAAAAAATATTCAAAAATATTTAAAAGAGTGTGCTCCATAGCCAAGTCTTTGCATTTGAGCAACAAAATTAAGACGGCTTCCAATAAAATTAAAATGACATGGCGATAAAATCCGTAAAAATAGTTTTATTCAAAGACATGGAGTATAATTAATAGCGAAACTGGTAAGATCAACTCTCGCAATTCAAATTACCAGTTAAGTGTTAACAACAAATTAACTGTATCAGATCAGGACGTAGCAATGGTTTTTGAGAAATATTTTACTGATATTCCGATCTTGACCACTAAGTCACTGAATTCTTCTCCTGCCGTCGCCGAATCATTACTTAAACAAAATGTAAATGTGTGTACAAAGAATTTTACATTTCATAAAGTGTCATCAAAAGATATTGTAAAATATTTTAAAACTATTGATGTTAAGAAAACTGCGGATCTGTGGGGGATTTCCGTAAAAGTTATTGCGTCTATAATAGATACAATCGCGCCTCATTTAGCTATTATTTTTAATACTAGTATCGAATCTGGTGTGTTTCCTGATTTAATGAAGCATAGTAAAGTAATACCTTTATTTAAATCTGGTAGTACATTAGACCCCGCCAATTTTAGACCTATTTCTGTACTACCAACACTTAGTAAGATTTTTGAAAAAATTGTTCTTGTTCAAATGTTAAATTTTTTTAATATAAATAATTTACTTCATAAAAATCAATTTGGTTTCACAAGGGGTCGCTTGACAACTGATGCCGGTGTTGAGCTGATTAAATATATCTTTAATGCATGGGAGAATTCACAGGATGCTTTGGGTATATTTTGTGACCTATCCAAGGCCTTCGATTGTGTTCACCATGAAACATTAATCAGGAAACTTCAACACTACGGTGTAAGAAGTGATGCCCTTAAATTAATTATTTCATATTTAAGTAAGAGAACGCAAAAAGTTGTCATTAACAATATGAGCTCTTCCGGATCGATGGTACAAATGGGCGTGCCTCAAGGCTCAATTCTCGGCCCCTTTCTGTTTCTTGTATACATTAATGACTTACCTTACATAGTAGGGGATAACCATGATATAGTATTATTTGCAGATGACACTTCTTTAATTTTCAAATTAAGTCGACAGTTACTAAAATATGACGAAGTAAATAATGCTATCTCTAAATTAGTAAATTGGTTCGATGTTAATAATTTGCATTTAAATGGCACTAAAACAAAATGTATGAAATTCGTGACTCCAAATGTCAAACAATTAAATACTAATGTAATTTTAAATGGGGAGAAACTGAGTCTTGTAGATACCACCATTTTTCTTGGAATCACACTAGACGCGAAGCTTCAATGGAGCCCCCATATATCAAAACTAGCAAGCAGACTTAGTTCTGCAGCATATGCTGTAAAAAAGATTAGAAGTTTAACCAGTGTTGAAACAGCTAGACTAGTTTACTTCAGCTACTTCCATAGCATAATGTCGTATGGTATTTTGCTATGGGGACACGCAGCTGACACTGAAATTATATTTGTTTTGCAAAAGAGGGCCATAAGAGCAATTTATGATTTAAAGCCTAAAGAGTCGCTGCGACAAAAATTTAAGGAAATTAATATATTAACTTTGGCCTCTCAATACATTTATGAAAATGTAATGTACGTACACAAAAATAAAAGTAGTTTTACAAAAATAAGTGATATTCATTCTGTAAATACTAGGAACAGACACAAGCTAGTAGTACCAGTTACTCGACTCCATCGAGTCAGTAATTCATTCTTGGGGCGATGTATACGCTTTTACAACAAAATTCCAGAAAATATACAAAGTTTGACCTGTTCAAAGTTCAAAAACTTTATTAAACTAAGTTTGTATAAAAAGGGTTATTATAATATTAAGGAATTTATGGATGATAATAACCCCTGGAAATGAGGTGATCGCTACCAAGCTATTTCTAATTTGTTGTGTTGTTAATTTGTGTAACATCATGATTGTAAGCTGTTATTTAAAAAAAAAAGTCCCGCTGGGTTTCTTGCTGGTTCTTCCCAGGACAGAGGTTTTTTCCGAACCAGTGGTAATCAAACAAAAGAGTGACTTTCAATAAGTATTATTTATAATCTATATTGAATAAAAAAGTTTCTGTTCTGTTCTGTTAACCAATTTTACATAAAACGGCGACGATCTAATATTTTAGACGCTACAAAAGCAGCAGATATAAATTATAAATATTATGTAGTAATCAACCAATGAAAATTAAAATACTTTATAATAATTTAGCCAATATTAATGATATTTATTATAAAACAAAACAAGCGGTAAAATTAAAAAAAAATGTACAACCGACTTTAATATAAATAAAATGCAAACATTATCAATGTAGTCGAAGTCAATTAAATGCGCATTATTAAGGATAACTCAAAAACTACTGGTTAGATCTTGATCAAATTTATATGGGACCACATGAGAAGCACCAATATTCAAATTAAAAAAATTCATTCAATTTCAATCAAATTCAATCAAAAATTCAAATAAAAAAAAAATCATCAAAATCGGTTCACCTAGAAAACGGTTCTGAGTGTTACCTCACATAAAAAATACAGTCGAATTGAGTACCTCCTTTTTTTTTTGAAGTCAATGAATTATTAAAATTATCGCTATATCCATATTGCACCGTTACTATGGAGCAATATTGTTATATCTATATTAATTGCGAATAAATAACAATGTACTAACTTTACGTCCAATATTTGGGTCCCACTCGTAGGACTCGCTTTTGGTAAGGTTGTCCTCATCCTGCACCAACTCGGTGGGCTTCAGGTAGCCGATCTTGCGGAACAGCGTGGAACGGAACAGGTTCTTAGTGGCGAAGTTCAACCCGCCGCAGTAGTGGAATATCTTTATGCCGGGAATCTCTTCCGCCTAAAATAAGAATACTACAGTAATAACTGTATAATAACATTGTATCAAAACTCCATTGGCATGCTGAGACCGGTAAGCGAAGTGCAGGGCGGCCCCCAACTAGATAAAGCGACGACCTGGTAACATATGCAGGAAGTTGATGAAGGAGGCTCAGGACCTTTGTGTATGCCTATATTCAGCAGTGGACTTGTGAATGGATGTAATGATGGTGATGATGATGATGATGATAACTCCTTTAGTATTTAAGAAACGTGTAAGAAAATACTAGATACCTTAGCATCTTGCTAATCAAATATGAAACCATCAAACTAGCTATGGGCCATTTTTTTATAGGATAAGGGTTACAAACGAGCACACAGTCCACCTGATGGTAAGTGGTTACTGTGGCCCGAAGACATCTACATATAACTTCAATTACGAATCAAAATACAGATGCGTTGTCACCCGTGAGGACTAAGATGGAATGCCACGTATATAATGACAAATGGTCGGTGGTCGCTACAATCTATAAATCTGTTAACACTTTGTCTACATTGCTCTCTAACGGTGCACAAGGCGGAAGGTTTCGCGGTCTATATTGGGTATACGGTACATACAACTGTTAAACAGTGCGTCATAGAGTCAGCGTATGGTGTGGTCCGTGGCGGTCACGAGTGGCGTTGTAGCATATAGAGATGAGACATATCTAAGCTGCCAGGTTTTAAAATCGGACTAATTCGAATCAATATCAATATATAAATACGATCAAGTTGATTTTCGTATTTTCTTGATTTGAATTAGTTCAGGAGAAAAAATATCATTTTGAATCGAAAACCAAATCGAATTCAAAAACAATTTCGGAAGTAACCCTAGCCTTCTGTGTAACAAAAACAGTTATATTTAAAAGTACACCATATTCTTATATTGGTACATTATACAAACTCTTAATTTTGTTTCTTTTTAAAACATAAATATAAATCAAATATTTGATTCTTGACAGCTTGACAGCTATCAAACGCATTACTACTGCTCGTAACCTAACATGTAAAATTAATAATAATTGGCGTAAAAATGTAAATATGAAACGGAAAATGAGCATCACAACAAGTGCACAATGTAAATACAACAGCAACGAGAAATAATAAACAGCTTTTAGCTGTTGAATTAGCAGTTTTGCTGTAGAATGAGGCTCATCGCCGACAAACGTTTTCCGTACCGCCTGAACTACGAGGTCGGCGTATTCGACATTATAAGATGGTGGATTTTCATATTAATCAATATGTTATTAATGTACTGTATACACTACTTTGTACTTTTATTCAGTAGAGACAGAGAAATGGAAGTGCTCAGTGAAGGAATGTTATTATCAACGAACGCGCAATAAATAATTCCAAATTACCCATGTGGATTTTTTAAACACTCTTTGTTCAATAATAATATGTTTTCGTGAATTATAAATATGTCATCATTATTAATCTGTAAATAGTCATGATTAGTCATGAATAAAATTTTAAATTACAACATATAAAGGGAACAAACTAACTTGTCCAACTTACTACCTAAGCTTACTACACAAGCCTTGGTACCTTTTTTAAATATTAGTACCGCTATAAGCTAGCAAATGAAATTACAGCTCTGCTCATTTAAAAGATTATATGGAAAAGTAAATTGTAGCACTTTAATGGAATTCACGTTTTTCAATTCCTTAGACATGCAGACTACTAATATTTTCCGACACCGCCGAGGACGTGGTAAATAAAAGACTTCAATTGAAATTAACAAATTCGCAAAAGAGTTTGCTGGCATATTTTAGAATTTAAGACAACCGCCTGTGAAATAATTAAAAATTAAAAATGTTGTGCAACCGACTTCAATATAAATTATTAAGAATAACTCAAGAACTATTGGTCAGACCTTGATCAAATTTATATGGGACTACATGTGAAGCACTAGCTTTCAAATAAAAAAAGAAAGAAATCGGTTCATCCAGTAAAAAGTTATGAGGTACCACACATAAAAAAAACATACAGTCGAATTGAGTACCGTCTCCTTTTTAAAGTCGGTAGAAAATAGGAGCTGTGCCAGTTCTTTTTTTTCATTAAGAACTAGCTGTATCTGGCTGTAGCCTATAGTCTCTAAAATTTACGATAGCTTAAGAATTAAAATGCATGGGTCGTCACCTCTGCGGACTACATGGTTCTATAGTTGTCGTCGTCCTATATACATACAAGACACACAGTGACGTAGCAGTGGGGCGGTAATTTTGGTACTGCGTCCTCGGGTTTGTGCGAGTGTTGTCATTTTTCGGTTGAGCCGATCCATGTGTGAAGTTATAACGTTCCTGTTTTTTTTATTATTATTACGTAATACTCACAGCTCTGTATCGTTTCGTGTCTAAATACAAGTCAGTGTTCAGCACGCGTCCGAGGAGACACGTGTAAGGTTTCTGCGAACGACAGAACAGGGTTGCCACACTCGCTAAGAGACCGGCCGCCAATCTGAAATTGTGGAGAACTTTTTAAATTGCATGCAGAGGATGTTAAGAGACTAGCGACCCGCCCGGGCTTCGTCTGGGTAGGATCAATTACTGTGGGGTTGTTTAGATTTAAGGTAATCAAAGACCGTTTATTTTACCAATTTTTTGTATTTTTTTTTCGAAAAAAAAAACAAGTTTTTCGTATAGCTTTTCAATTAAGCTATATCTCTTTATAGACGAATGTGCTAGTGGATAATTTTACACTGCCACTACAAGATAAATAAATCTAATATAGTCCTAATTAAATTGTGTCATGGACTTAATTTAAATTGGTTAATATCTATAAATAGCCAAGGTAAGTTAAAAATTTTGTACAACCGACTTCAATATAAATTATTAAGAATAACTCAAAAACTATTGGTCCGACCTTGATCAAATTTATATGGGACCACATGTGAAGCACCAGCTTTCAAATAAAAAAAACCATCGAAATCGGTTCACCAGTAAAAAGTTATGAGGTAATACATATCAAACAGTCGAATTGAGTACCGTCTCCTTTTTGAAGTCGGTAGAAAAAAAGCCAGCATCTGTGTTTCCATCCGATTACAATGTGGGTGTCTTCAAGGCAAGAGTGAATGGGCTTTTGTTAAGTCAGTACGCTTCACCATCTTAGGCTACATCACCACTTACCATCAGGTGGGATTGTAGTGAAACACTGGCTTAGAATTGTAAAAGAAATACTACAGTATATCTGACTGCCATTGTCGCTGCAATTATTTATACAATGGTAAGAACTTCACAAGCATGGTGGTGTACATCTAGCGGTTAAGGGGGTTTGATGATATAATTCTTTAAATGTTAAATGTTTTTTTTTATATAAACCTCAAGTGATAAACTGTCCTATACTGCAGTCCATGGACACGTGCAGCCAATTTCAAACAAGAAGGCTACAGGTGTGTCATCTCTGGGAACCAGGATTGGAAGCTCTCTATACTCGTAAGTATCAAACCGTAAAGCCATGCTGCGGCTATATTAGTAGTATAGTTGTAGCACGAATGGGTCGGCTCGACCGGGGAAGGACCACGCTCTCACAGAATACCAGCGTAAAATAGCAGCTTGACACTGCTGTGTTTCGTATGGTGAGTGTAGAGAACCGGAGACCCTTTTTACTGGAAAAGAGGCATTCCATCTTAGTCCTCACGGGTGACAACGCATCTGAATTTTGATTCGCAAACGACGGTAAATGTAATGTCTATGGGCCATAGCAACCACTTACCATCAGGTGGACTGTGTGCTCGTTTGTCACCCTATCCTATAAAAAAGAAACAAAAAAAAACCGGGACATGGCTCCCGCTCTGGCTTCACGTGGGTAGAATCTATTATTGTGGCTTTATTAAGATATAAGATAATCATCACAAATCATTTGTTTTAAATTCTCAGAAAAAAAAAATGTCAAGTTTTTCGGATAAAATATATAATATATCACTTCTGACGCTGCTCTCTATCTGTTTGTCAAGTTTTATTACAATCGGTTCAGCCACACCAAAGATATCCCGGACAGACAGAAATAAAAAAAAGGCTATTCCTCATCAACCTCTTCAGCTCAATAAAAGGCAATTGTTCAGTCAGTACAATATTCCATATAGACACTTCAATTTTATTTATATGTATAGATTTCTGACGGCGCCTATTCCAGACGAATTTCTAAGCAGAAGTTACCACCGCAAAAGCTATTCAAAAGCTCTAGATTAGTTAAAAACTTACCCAATATCAATATCGATTATCACTGTTGTTAAGAATGTCACCAGCCATACGACTGCGTCAAGTTTGCTCAACCGCCAGAATCTGCAAGAAGACGGTTTTTAGTAAATGTAAGTTAAGCATGTTCCAGACGGATGTAATCCAGCGTCCTAACAAAAGTGACCTAGCTTGTTTCCTTCCATCTAGGCGGCAGATGTAATCCAAATTTTTGTTTGATCTTCAACGTCTTTGGAGAACAGACGCGCGCTTCCATCCGCAGTTGGAGCGCGTGGATTACATCCGTGTAGCCGGCGGCCGCCGTATTACATAAATAAATAAATACATCTTATCCTTACCATAGACTTTTATGCTGCGTAGGGATGGGCAAGGAAAAAAAATATCGATATATATCGCGTGATAAATATCGATATTCCGATATATCGTCATCATAGGCATGTTTTGTTCTTAATACAACATTTTAAAATATATCGCAATTGATAAGAATTCGATACTCTAAAATAAATATCAATATATCCCGATTTAAAATATCGACGATATATATCAATATTTTTATTAAAATATATCGATATTTTTTGCCCATGACCAGCGAAGCGAACGCGAAATTATAAGTGAATTAATCGATCTCTATAGAGATTTGCCATGCTTATGGGATTGAAATTGGTCCAACAACAACATTTCGATTTCTACAACTTAATTCTACGCGAGCGCGATTCACAGTGAAGCTCGAACGTGTTGGCGCTTGGTTGTGATCCGTGTAGCCGAAACACAATCCGCGAATGGAAACCAAGCTCCCAATCAAGGTCACCTCTGTAGGGACACTGGATTGCATCCGTCTGGAACATGCTTTAGTGGAAATGATGTTTCAGGGGCTACGTACTAGGATTACGTTATTGTTGATAATGAGGTCCCGGGTTCGGGCCAAAACCAGTTATTGGGATTTTCTGCAAAAAAATCTCAGTAGCTGCCCGGAGTCAGAGGAGTCAGCTATATCTCACCCCCGTGCCTCGGAAAGCATGTAAAGCCGTTGGTCCTGCGCCTGAAATCTCCGGTGGTGTCGGTTTACCGTTCCAACGGACTATGAGAGTGAGGGAATAGAGAATGCACCTGTGCTTGCGCATACACTAGTGCATTATAATCCTGTCCTGCGCAGATGGTTTGTCTCCATTAAGACCGGCCGCCTTGACCGAAATCGGTTTGGAGGACATTATTATTAAGTTTAATAATTTGATTAACAAACTAACTTGCGCAGCTCTTTAACTTGCATGAACATGCCCTTCAGCGACACGACGATGATGGAGGCCAGCACACTGCGGGGCAGCTGCTCGAAGAACGGCCCGATCCACAGCAGTACGCACAGGATTAGCATCGCACTAACCACCGACGTGATCGCGGTCTTGCTGCCCGCCTGGAAAGAACTTTCCATCATTATTATCATCACTAAACAGTGATGAAATGTCTCGAATTAAGCTGCAGCAGGCACTTATCTCTCGTAGATACCTACCCGATAAACATCTACAGCGCGTGACAACTTATTCGTGGTAGAGCCACGCTGCAGCTACATTAGTCGTAGCACGAATAGGTCGGCTCTCACAGAATATCAGTGTAAAATAGCAGCGTAATCCTGCTGTGTTTCGTATGGTAAGTGTAGAGAACCGGAGACCGTTTTAGGGCAGGGGTGGCAACGCATCTGCATTTTAATTCTTAATCGACTTTAGATGTAGATGTCTATGGGCCACAGTATCCACTTATCATAAGGTGGAATATGTGCTCGTCTATCACTCTTATTCTATAAAAAAAATTAAAGCTTAATCAGCTAGGGCTGCTGCGCACTTGTAAATGCACCTAAACACGCACGTACGTTAGGCCCAGGCACGGTAGGCCTCCCTCATAGATTGCCTAATGGAGGGTATTTTTCCATAGTTGTCACGCTTGGCAAGCAGGTTGGCAACTGCAGTGTTTTTTTATTATTTATTTATTATATTATTTTGTTTAGTTATCAGGAAGATGCTGCTGCCCCTCCCCTGTTTCATTTTCCCTCTGTCGCCTTTTACGACACCCACGGGACGATATGGGGTAGTGGATATTCTTACACCGCCACTACACGGTTAATATATATTTTAATTTTTTTTTCCTAATATTATTTCGGTACCTGTGTGCTCCTTTCGGATCAGACTGGCTTTTCTACATATTGTATAGACTATAGAGAATATATAAACAAAAAAAGGTGTACTCACTTGGTACTGAATGTAGGAACGCGATAGACTCGCACAAAGCGGCGCGCAGCAGAAGAATGAACCGAACACGTTACTAGCACCCTAATAAAAAAAAATTATACGAATTATTTTTAATTGTATTATCTTTATGCGAGACTATTGGTTTTTTTTAACTATTCAAAGCCAGCGCTTGACTACACTATCTCACCTGATGGTTAGTGGCGATGCAGCCAAAGATAGTAAGTAAAGCGCACTCACTTAACCTTAACATCTAGTAGTAAAATTAAAAATTTTGTACAACCGACTTAAATATAAACAAAATTATAACAATTCAGAGAATAAACCAATGTATTCGAAGTCGAAGTGTAGTGGGCGGTGCTGGAGTCCCTTCAGCGGTGCCAAGTTGACTGTCGGCATATCGAAGTGCTGAAGTGTATGTACAATAGAGCTACGATGGCTATCCGAGTACAGAATCAGAGTACGAAATCTATCCAACTGCAGAGAGGTGTAAGACAGGGTGATGTTATATTCCCGAAATTCTTTACCGCTGCATTGGAAGACATTTTCAAGCTGCTGGACTGGATAGGATGCGGTATTAACATCAATAGCGAGTACATCACTCACCTTCGATTTGCCGACGATATAGTCATTATGGCAGAATCGCTGGAGGACCTAAGAAGTACTATGCTCAATGACCTCAATAGTGTTTCCCAACGGATAGGTCTTAAGATGAACATGGACAAAACAAAGATCATGTTTAACGTCCATGTCACACCTACGCCGGTAGTTGTTGGGAGCACTAAGCTCGAAGTTGTTGACGAGTATGTTTACCTGGGACAAATAGTCCGACTAGGTAAGTCCAACTTCGACCGAGAGATCAATCGACGGATTCAACTCGGCTGGGCAGCGTTCGGGAAACTACTAAAAACTCGTTAGACCTCAAATCCTTAAAACGAAATTGTACAACAAAAAAAAGCAACCCCAAAGTCATCCCCTTTTCAACCGACTTCCAAAAAAGAAGGCGGTTCTCAATTAAACTGTATTTTTTTATGTGTGTTACCTCAGAACGTTTTTCTGGGTGAACCGATTTCGATGAATCTTTTTTTTTTGTTTGAAAGTTGGTACTCATCATGTGGTCTCATATAAATTTAATCAAGATCGGACCAGTAGCTTTAGAGTTATCCTTAGTAACGCGTGATTCATTGACTTCGACTACATTGATGATGTTCTCATTTTATTTATATCGAAGTGGGTTGTACCTAATTTTTAATTTCATCACTTGTTTGTCAAAAACAACACTACACTAGAAAAGACACACCACCGTCGATGAAACGACAGCGACACGTGGCATCCTTAGGTGAAGTAGATTGCGGTGGCTGACAGCAAAGTGATATAATACTTATGAATGGATACGTACAATTGCGAGGAGCTCCTGATTCGCGTCGATCTCGTACTTTTCTTTAGAGGCGAAAATTAACGCCATTGACATAGAAATGGTGTAGGTGACCATTGTGATTGTAAATGCGTCCAACGCTATGGACGTAAACAGTTCTACTGGTGGAACTTCCGGTTCAGGTAAACTGGGGACGAAAGAAAAGAAAATAATGTCATGTTTTTTAATGTACTAAGTCTTCCTTACTGATCTCATAGTCTACCTGACAGTGAGTGGATGCTGTGGCCCATAACCATCTACATTCTCGATGCCTGATGTAGATGCGTTGTCACCCGTAACGATTAATATAATATTACGCTGGTATTCTGTGTGTTGTAACCAATGAAATTGTTAATTGCAATTTTAAGTGCTGATTTACCATGTGCTCGGCGGTGAAGGAAAACATCGTGAGGAAACCTGCATGTCTGAGAAATAAGAAAAATATATTTGAAAGAGATGTGAAGGCAACGCGGCGGACACTTCTTTGCCCTAAAGCCTCTTAGAAATGAAACTTTAACTTTTTTATTCTGTGTGTGCGTGGACTTTCCCCGGTCGATACTTAATGAGCCGACTCATTCCTTTTTCGACCATAATATATCTGCAGCGTGGGTCTACCACGTTAAGAATTGTTAATTATTCGATTCAAAATAATATAAATTAATTCTTTATTCATTATGAAGAGCCGTGTTATTGCAACTTTATCCTCACAGTGTAGCGTACCAACTCCGTCAGACCTGTGGTCATCATCATCATCATCATTACAGCCTTTCATAAGTCCACTGCTGAACATAGGCCTCCCCCAAGGAATGCCACAAAGCACGGTCCTGAGCCACCTGCATCCATCGATTTCATGCATGTCTTACCAGGTCGTCACTCCATCTCGTGGGGGGCCGCCCTACACTTCGCCTACCGGTACGAGGCTGCCACTCGAGAACCTTTCTTCCCCATCGGTTGTCGGTTCTTCGAGCTATATGGCCGGCCCACTGCCACTTCAGCTTACTAATCCGTTGGGATATGTCGGTTACTCTGGTTCTACTGCGGATATCCTCATTTCTAAGTTTATCACGCAGAGAAACCCCGAGCATAGCCCTCTCCATAGCTCGCTGAGCGACCTTGAGCTTCCTTTTACGGCCAGCAGTGAAGGACCACGTCTCAGATCCGTAAGTCATCACTGGCAACACGCACTGGTTGTACAATTTCGTTTTAAGGTTTTGAGGTATGTCTGACGAGAAGATGTTCGTAGTTTCCCGAACGCTGCCCAGCCGAGTTGAATCCGTCGATTGACCTCTCGGTCGAAGTTGGACTTACCTAGTCGGACTATTTCTCCCAGGTAAACATGCTCGTCAACAACTTCGAGCTTAGTGCTCCCAACAACTACCGGCATAGGTGTGACATGGACATTAAACATGATCTTTGTTTTATCCATGTTCATCTTAAGACCTATCCGTTGGGAGACACTATTGATGTCATTGAGCATGGTGCTTAGTTCCTCCAGCAACTCTGCCATAAGGACTATATCGTCGGCAAATCGAAGGTGAGTGATGTACTCACCATTGATGTTAATACCGTATCCTTTCCAGTCCAGAAGCTTGAAAATGTCTTTCAATGCAGCGGTGAAGAGTTTCGGGGATATAACGTGACCCTGTCTTACACGTCTCTGCAACTGGATAGGTTTCGTATTCTGGTTCTGTACTCGGATAGCCATCGTAGCCCTACTGTACAAGCACTTCAGTACTTCGATATACCGTCAGTCATCTTGGCACCGCTGAAGGGACTGCAGCACCGCCCAAATTTCGACGAAATCAAAGGCTTTCTCATAGTCCACATACGCCAGACATAGTGGCAAATTGTACTTCTCGGACTTCTGTACAACTTGCCGAAGGGTATGTATGTGGTCTATGGTGCTAAAGTCCTTTCGGAAACCGGCTTGTTCGGGAGGCTGGAAATCGTCAAGTCTGCGCGCGAGACGATTCGTAATGACTCTCGAAAACAGCACGTAGAGGCGGCTCAGAAGGGAAATCGGTCTGTAGTTCTTCAAGAGAGCGTTGTCACCTTTCTTGAAGAACAAGACCACCGCACTTCTGCTCCACGCCTCCGGTGTAATGCCACCATGGAGGACGGAATTAAAGAACTTCTGAAGGACGCTCCGCTTTCAGAAGCTTCGCTGTAATTCCATCCTCGCCTGGGGCCTTACCGTTTTTAAGGTGCTGGAAAGTCATTCTAATCTCGCTCAGACTGACGTCCGGGATATAATCGGAATAGTGTCGGATAAGACTCGCTCTTGGATCATTACTCACACTTGCGTGTGGCTCCAACGATGAATAGAATAGAATAGAATAATTTTTATTCAATATACATAGGCTGCACTAAAAGTATCGGGAATGGAATATTTCCTAAAACTCCTTGGCTTTAAAAATCGAATACCATTTATTTATTTAAAAAAAGATTCTCGGTCTTGTCACAAGGTTTTGTCAAACTTGTTTAGTCGTTGAGAAAATGGAATTGACTCGAGAAAATTCAAGAGCGATGATTTATTATGACTTTCGAAATAGTTTAACACAAAAACAGTGTGTTGACCGGATGATTTCTGCATTTGGTGATGAAGCCCCATCCAAAACCACAATTAATCGCTGGTTTGCTGAATTTCAATGTGGACGTGTCAAGCTCAGTGATGATCCCCGTCAAGGTCGTCCAAAAACTGCAGTCACCCAAGATAACGTTGATGCTGTGCGTAAGCTGATTGAGGAAAATTGCCATGTGACATACCGCGAAATTCAGGCAACTTTAGACATTGGCATGAGTCAAATACAAATAATCTTGCATGAACAATTAGGTGTAAAAAAGTTGTTTTCCCGATGGATACCGCATTTGCTCTGTGAAGAGCAAAAAGCGGCTCGCGTTACTTGGTGCGTCAGAACTCTCGAAAGATTCCACGCAGGATCCTCAAATGCTGTATACAACATCGTATCAGGTAACGAATCCTGGATATACGCGTACGAAATCGAAACAAAAAACCAGTCACGAGTTTGGGTGTTCGAAAATGAGTTAAAGCCAACAAAAATTGTTCGTTCACGGAGTGTTGTAAAAAAAATGGTGGCCACGTTTGTCTCCAAAACCGGCCATGTTACGACTATTCCTCTTGAGGGACAAAGAACGGTTAATGCAGAATGGTATGCTAGCATTTGTTTGCCACATGTCGTTTCTGAACTCCGTAAAGAGAACTGCAACCGCCGCATCATCCTCCGTCACGACAATGCGAGTTCTCACACCGCACACAGAACAAAAGAGTTTTTAGAGCAAGAAAACATAGAATTATTAGACCATCCGTCGTACAGCCCCGACCTAAGCCCTAATGATTTCTATACTTTCCCTAAAATAAAGAATAAATTGCGTGGACAGAGATTTTCATCATCTGAAGAAGCTGTGGACGCCTACAAAACGGCCATTTTGGAGACCCCAACTTCCGAATGGAATGGTTGCTTCAATGATTGGTTCCATCGTATGGAAAAATATGTCAAATTTCGCGGAGAATATTTCGAAAAGCAATAAATACATTTTTAAATAGTAATGTTGTGTCACTTCCTTGATTCCCGAAATTTTCAGTATATTACATGCGTAATTCTTATTGAACGTCATTTTTTACTTCACCACTGCACTGGTTCGAAAAAAAAACCCTCTGTCCTGGGAAGAACCAGCAAGAAACCCAGCGGGACTTTTTTTTTAAATAAATTTTACAATATAAATGATTACGAACTATTTACAAAATTTATTTTAGAAACCGCTTGGAAGCGACCACCTCATTCCCAGGGGTTATTATTATCAACCATGTATTCATTTATATTATAGTAACGATGACGTGTACAGCTGCCCATAGAACCAATCTCACTCAAAATCTCAGGTGTCCCGGAAATGCTGCTGCCACACTCGGTCTTCAACTTTGACAGTTGGCTCTTTCTGGCAGACAGATCTCTGGCAAAGACTTTGGAGCCTTGGTTCCGCTCGATCGCTTCTTCAATACAAGTTGTATTGAAGTTGCGTAAGTCCCGCCGCATGCATTTGGAGATCTGTCTGTTCAGTTGCCTGTATGCTGTCAAATCTGTTGAAGAATGCAGCTTCATCTCCCGTCTAACAGCCATGAGATTAAGAGTGTGATCGGAGAGTTTTTGTGTTCTTCTGCAGCGGATCTTGCAGAACTTAGCTCCGACCGCATGGACAGTTTCCACAAGCTTGTTATTCATATCGTCCACTTCATTGCAATCTTCTAGGCACTGAAAACGGTTTAAAAAACCGTTTCAGTGCCTAACTTGAGCTGAAAGGTTTCGGGACTATGGAACAGAGAACGAAGGGGACGGAGCGTTGACTTCATTAGACGAGACCTCTCCAACTTTACGTTTAGGTTCAAATTTCCCTACTTTCAGCTCATCGTTCTCTCTTGTGCCTAGTTTTGCATTGAAGTCTCCCATTAACACCGTAGGTATATTGGGTTTTGGAGGAATGCATGGCTCTAGAAATATCCTCATACATTTTTTCCACCTCCTCATCGGGGTGTGCCGAGGTTGGTGCGTAAACCTGTATGACCTTCAGCGAATACCGTTTGGTGATTCTGAGTATAAAGTACGCAACCCTCGTCGACACACTCTCAACCTTTACAAAGTTGTTAACGAGAGACTTGTGGACGATAAATCCGACACCTCCTTGGAACAGATGGTCGCCCTCCCGGTGATAGAGCAAGTTGCCGGATTCGAGGGTTACCGTGTCCTTCCCCTCTCTTCGGACTTCGGATAATCCTATAATATGCCAGCGTAACTTGTCTATCTCTTCTTCCAGCTCCACAATCTTCTCGTCAGTCCTCAGGGTGCGTGCGTTGTATGTTGCTAGGTCGAGTTGTCTTAGATGGCAACCGAACCTCCACCGGAGGTTCTTAGCATCCCCCGTTACCATGGTCGCCACCGTAGCCAGGAATAGCGGGGCCGCCGGGGACTGTCTCTTAGTAACTTTATTTATTTTGGGGGGTATATTGCCATAGTTGCCACGCTTGGCGAGCGGGTAGGCAACCGTAGTTTTTTATTGTGATATTGCTGTTATCAGGAAGATGCTGCTGCCCATCTCCTGACTGTATCCCACTATCACCTCTTACGACACGTAATGGCGAAAGGTCGTCATTTGAAGTAAATTCTCTTAATTTATAGAAGCGTAATTTAGTAACGACACTAATTTCTAAAATTACATTTAAAATTATAATAAAATTTTTAGAATTTTAGCTGTATAATTCTAATAAATAACATTTAAAAGATACTTGTTCTGAGGAGTCTACAAATGTGGCATGTGTTAATCCGATGTGATGGACTGGGACTCCACAGATTAAGTGCTTATTTATCACGTGCTCAGCCTGTGCCCAGCAATGGGACATATATTTGAAACTTTAACTTTAATTTTCAATATAATAATAACTTACCCTGTTGGTATATGTCCGACTAATGTGATGCCAAACTGCTCTTTTAGGCTTGCGTACCTGGAAACTAGGGTGCCTATGACTATGGCTAGTAACTCAATAGGAACTGGCACACGACTGCGCTTGCTCACCCATGGCTGAAAATAAATTCAAATGAAATATTTATTCATATTATCTACAGCATGTTTACACATTAGGACAGGTTGAAATTAAATTGAGTATTTAATTTTAAAATGCCGGCGATTTAATACAACATCAAAATGTACGATGACCAGTCCAAGTGTTAGAATGCAAAATGTCTGCCTGCTAACTTCCAAAATGTCTCATTCATTCATTTAATCATTACAGACTCTCAAAATTATACATAATATGTATTCATATGTATGTACTAGCGATCCATCCCTGCTTCGCACGGGTGATTTTTGCATCTCGGCAACAGCGTCACCTACCGGGTTCAACTATAGCTTAGAACCTTTCAGGAGACCCCATAAGTTCCCTATAAAATTTCATTAACATTCGTCAAGCCGTTTAGGAGAAGAATTATGAATACACGCACACCGGAATTTTATATATAAATATGGACAAGAGCGTAGGTCTCCCCCATACACGCCTTATAGGGTGATATTTGCTATAGTTGCTACGGTCAACAGACGGGAGAAGACGCTGCTATATCTATATCCTGTATCATTTCCCTCTCTCGCCTCTCACGGCACCCACGGGACGATATGGAGATATAGTGGAGTCCATAACGCCGCGTCAAATACATTCTACAAATGCAAAAGAAAAAAGGCATGCGTCATACGTAAGGCAACCATGGTATGCTAGCAGAGAGTCGTAAAGTCTTGGCTTTTTTCTTTTGCTCTTGATTCGATCGATCTTTCTGTTGGGGAGTAACTTACGTTTGCGGAAACTTGAGAAGGGTTCAAGTGGAAGGAGACGAAGACTTTTTTCTATATTACTTTTATTTACTAACTTACAAGTTAACTTAACTACTGTGAGAATGTGAGTTTTCAGGAATACTAGACTACCTAAGTTACAAACTAATTTAACTACTACTGGGCGATTTTAACATTAAACCCTGGGTTTTATACTATGTTGAATATTCTTAAGTTTGTAAGTAAATTGAGTCACGTCCTTATAGACGTGCTGGTATAGTCATCTACGATACGGCACCGCCTGCTAAGCATGATGAGCAGGCTATTGAGGAGCTCCAACACCCTTCTCAACGCATTGGCTGTGAAGCTGGATTGCCCGCTCTGGAGGGCTTGGAATGGTGCACACACCAGCACGAGGAGAATCCCACCTGGAGTTCGCTATGTGAGGCTGGGGGTAGGTTAAGCTACTAATATATGATAAGTACTTTTTTGTCGGGAAGGGTCGCCCTAGGCGAAAGTTTATCTACCAAATTGGCGATATATTAAAAATGGGCCAAATCAAGAGTACCTTTAACCGACGAGCGTGTATGCGTAGGTATATGGATGTGGAGGAAGCGAGAGAGGTGTGTCAGGATCGTGCCAAATGGAAGTCCATAATCTCTGCCTACCCCTCTGGGTGACAGGCGTGAGTGTTTATGTTTATGTTTTACTTTTTTGACTAACATTTTAATATTAACTTCTATTTTGTTTTATACTAACATTAGGCTAAGTAAGTTTTACTAACAATATATGACTATTGTTGGTCGAAATAAAGGATTTATTATTATTATTATAAGCAATTAGCAGGCGGTGCCGTATGGTAGATGACTTCGTGATTGCATGCAAGATCTCAGTATGCACATGTAACTAGTATGACATAGAAATTCGCACAAACAAAATGAAACTATAATAATCTTATAAGTGACTGGAAAGGCAGAATATCTATTGACAAATTTTTGAATTGATACAAATATTTAAAAGTAAGGTTATGATTAATTTTAAAATAATGAACAATATATTTGCTTCCCTGCGATATTAAGAGATAAGTGACACTAGTTAAACCAATAGAGATCGATATGATACGAATAAATAATCTTTCAATAATAACTGACTTGGAGAGCGTCTGTTTATTGAGAATAACATAAACTTAAAAAGACCACGTTGAGCATGAGGTATACTTGTGGATTAGGAAGGTAGCACTCATGTTACCGGGTTTATATAATTGGGTCAAGTTATATGGTATTTTGTTACTAAAAATCTATGTTCTTATTGCAGATAGTATTTCCTTGGTTACCTAACTTACCATACGACAAACGTATACACGGATTTTTAAACGTACACTTTCAAGTACTGGGGCAAGCCACCATTTTAGACTAATTACTTCATTAGGTGCAGATTATTAGCGATACACAAACAACGATTAGATTGAAGCAATTTTGATTGAAACCTTAAATACTTACCTTAAGTAATTCATTGTTGAGGGCTATAATTGTACAGGTAATGGCGGATATCACGAACGCTGCCCAGTTTAAGTTCGCAATGTTCTTTATTATTTCTATCACAGTCTGGAACAAGAAAGATATATTTACGTGGTAGAGCAATACACATAAATAATTAAAGTGTCTGTCTATAATATTGAAATAGCTGTCTTTTATTAAGACCAGGGGGTTTTTGAATGCTATCAAGATATGAATAATCATTTTTATTTTTCTATCTTTTCTGGCTAAACTGACAGTGATGTAACTTTATGAACTACAATATATAACAATAATATATAACAAGGAGTGATCTAGGACCTAGATTCTAGGCTATACTTTATCCGAGAAATATGAAGGATTCTTTAAAATTAAAAACCATTTATTTTAAAGAATCATTATTTCAACACCATTTCACAATAAAACTGATTAACACGATAGAATAGAATAGAATAATTTTTATTCAATATACATTACATGTCTAATTCTTATTGAAAGTCATTTTTTACTTTACCACTGGTTCGAAAAAAAACTCTCTGTCCTGGGAAGAACCAGCAAGATACCCAGCGGGACTTTTTTTAAAATAAATTTTACAATATAAATGATTACGAACTATTTACAAAATTTATTTTAGAAACTGCTTGGAAGCGAACACCTCATTCCCAGGGGTTATTATCAACCATGTATTCATTTATACTATAATAACCCTTTTTATACAGTTTCAGCTTAATAAAACATTTAAACTTGGTAATAGAGAGAACCTGTACACTTTCCGGGACCTTCTTGTAATAGCGTATACATTGCCCCAAGAATGAATTACTGACTCTGTGGCATCACTAGCTTGTGTTTGTTCTTAGTGTTTACAGAATGTATATCACTTTTTTTACTAAAACTATCTTTGTTTTTGTGAACATACATTAAATTTTCGTAATAATACTGAGAGGCCAAAGTTAATATATTTATTTCTTTAAATTTATCTCTAAGAGACTCTCTCGGTTTAAGGTTGTAAATAGCTCTAATGGCCCTCTTCTCTAAAACAAAAATAGTTTCTGAATCAGCCGCATTTCCCCATAGCAAAATCCCATAAGACATTATGCTATGGAAATAACTGAAATAAACTAATCTAGCTGTCTCGACACTAGTGAGACCTCTTTGAATCTTTTTTACAGCATAGGCTGCAGAACTTAGTCTGCTCGCTAGTTTGGATATATGGGGGCCCCACTGAAGCTTCGCGTCGAGAGTGATGCCAAGAAAAACAGTGGATACAACAGGGCTCAACTTCTCCCAATTTAAAAACACATTGGCATTCAGATTTTTAACATTCGTTGTTGTAAATTTAACACAATTAGTTTTATTTCCGTTCAAATGCAGATTATTAACGTTAAACCAATGCACTAATTATTTAATTAATATAAAGTGATAACACCTTTTAATATGTAATCCATAGATCTTCAATTTTTAATATAAACATTTTCCCATATCGCACATAGTTTTTGAGATAACAGCAAAAAAACTGAGTAACTAAAGCGGTTTTTCTATACTTGAACTAATTTCACAAAGACCACTATTATAAATCTGGAGGTATTTTCGCTTGAGTTGTATACGGACGAAGATATATCGATGTTACTTTAGGCAGGCGACCATAGACAATAGATGGTTATATTATAAAAACTTAGCAGAATAATATCTATGACTTACCAAAACAACTTTATAGTTTGGGCCCACTTTCCGTATTCTGACCCCGAAGAGATCTTTCAGCTGCGAGGCGAGCACGTGAAACGACGCCGCCGTGGTGAAGCCCGATACCAGCGGCTCCGACAACAACGTCGACACAGCGCCTAATCGCAGGATCCACATTAATATCTGTCGGAGAATTTTGTATTGTGAAAAGAAGAAAAATCTAAGCTCTTTCTCTATCTTCATCTCTATCTTCTGGTTCTTCATCTTCTTATAGGGGCAGCTGTTGTCTTTTATGTAAAACTAAAGTAACAAACGAATTTACAGTGCACCACACGGTAAGTGGTTACTGCAACCACTCTGACCGCCTCGTTGGTCCTGTAGTCGTCAGCGCGACTGCTGCACATGAGGTGCCAGATTCGAATGTAGAGTCGGGCCAAAATCAGTTATTGGGTTTTTCCTGTCAAGAAATTCTCAGTAGCAACCCGAAGGAGTCAAGCAGTTGGCGGTGATCACCCCTGTGCCTCTAAAAGGGACACGACTATGGTTCTAACGGTGCCACGATGTGAATATGCCGAAAAGTAAGAATATTTTTTTTATATTGTTATATTTTTTTTAATACGGCTCCGTGGCGTAGTGGCTTAGCAATGAGTTGCTGCGCTGGGGGCCGCGGGTTCGAATCCCGCACGCACAGTACAAGTATTTGTATGGCCTACAAATAATTGTTCCGGGTCTGGATGTTTGTCCTTGTGCAATTTATGTTTGTAAACTGCCTCCCACGATACAGGAGAAAATCCTAGAGTGGGGGTAACGTTTTTAAAACAAATAAGAAAAACAAAAAAAAAACAAAATTATTTTTAACATAAAAAATCTGTATCTCTAAAATTCAAGATTAGATTTTTTAAGCAATTAAAAAAAATCGCTTACTTTTCTACCACCAACGAATTTTTAAACTTACGCTCATTACACACGCTCTTAAACTTGAAACTTCTCTAACTCAGTTTTTTTTTCTTATAGGAGAGGGCACAAACGAGCATACGGCTCACCCGATGGTAAGTAAATACCGCTGCCCATGAACAACTTTTAAAAAGGAGTAAGGTCTTTTCTTGTAGGTCTCTAAGTTGTATCGGTCCGGAAAAATCACAGGTGGTAAATTATTCTACAGAAAGATCGTACGCGGAAGAAAACTCCTAGTGAAACGTATGGTGGACCGCTAAGCGTCCAGACGGTGTCGATTGTATCGGGAGTTTTGCCGCTATGTGCGTTCGTGAAATTTGGCGGCTGGGATTAATCCAAACAATTCCACAGAGCACTCCCCGTGGTAAATGCGAAAGAAAATGCAAAGGGATGCAACATCTCTTCGCAGGGTCAGTGAATCGAGCCGATCGGAAAGGCTCGGTCGTCGACGATTCGAGCCGCACTGCGCCAGCCCAGAGATGGGAACAGTATTCCTTCTGACCTGTGAGGCCGTACCTGCGCCTTGTAAAGTTGCAGGCGTTGAGCTGGCATGAAATACTGTCCCGCTCTGCTGAGCACGCCAAGCTTTTTAGAGGCCAATTTGGCCTTCTCTTCCAAGTGACCACGAAACTGCACGTCACTCGATATGTCGACGCCGAGGATTCCAATACTGGCTGAGGCAACAAGGGGAGTGCCAGAGGTGGCCTAACAGAACTAACTACCCGATATTGTCCCGTGGGTGTCGTAAGAGGCGATAGAGGGAAATGGACAAGAAATGGGCAGCAGGATTCTCCTGATGACAACTCAAAAAAGTGGTAAAATTAAAAATTTTGTACAACCGACTTCAATATGAATAAAATGAGAACATCATCAATGTAGTCGAAGTCAATTAAATACGCATTATTAAGGATACCTCAAAAACTACTGGTCAGATCTTGATCAAATTTACATGGAACCACATGAGAAGCACCAGCTTTTAAACAAACAAAAAAAAAAGAATCATCAAAATCGGTTCACCTAGAAAAAAGTTCGGAGGTAGCACACATAAAATAAAAACAGTCGAATTGAGAACCTCCTCCTGTTTAAGACGGTTGAAAAATAAAAACACTGAGCACGCGGTTGCCAACTCGCTTGCTGAGCGTGGCAACGATGGCAAGGTCTATGTTCACCAGTGGACTTTTTATACTTTGTTATAATAATTTCCTCCAGACCAGTATGCGCAAGCACAGGTGAATTCTCTATTCCCTCACTCTCATAGTCCGTTGGAACGGTAAACCGACACGACCGGAGAGAGATCAGGCGCAGGACCAACGGCTTTACGTGCTTTCCGGGGCACGGGGGTGAGACACCGCCAACTTCCTGACTCCGGGCAGCTACTGAGAATTTCCTGACAGAAAAACTCAATAATTGATTTTTTAGACCCGACCCGGGAGTCGAACCCGAACTTCAAGATCAGCAGTCGCGTTTATGACCGCTGGACTAACGAGGCAGTCAGGCTTTTTTTTATAAATGAATGATGCATAAAAGTTTTGTTGAAATACTTTCTTCATACCTGAAAGAAGCCCACAGACAATGACACTATACTCAGCACTTGCACCGGTGTGTATTGAGATGCTGCGATCCCAGGATCTGAAAAGAAATATCAAAGATTTCTTATGTTTATATTTTAATATCATCTGTTTCTCGCGACTTCGCCCGCGTGTGTTGCTTTTAATTTTTTTGTGCGGTATTCAAATTATTTTTCTAAAATAAAAGAAGCCTATTTTACTTCTTATAACATCAACTATCTACCAGTGAAAGTCCCGTCAAAATCGGTCCAGCCATTTCGGAGATTAGGCGGAATAAACAGACAGACAGACAAGAATTTTAAAAATTGTGTTTCTGTTATAAGTACCGTATATATATATGCATATGCATTTAGTAAAAAGCAGTTATTTTGAAATTTCAAACAGGCACTTCAATTTCATTTATTTGTATAGATATAGATGTGTCTTACTGTAATAGATAATAGATATAGATGTGCCTTACAACTTTACCACCTTGTTCGAGTATTATAATATTCGTAATTCTATAGTTGGCTAACCTATAGCAATGGAATTATCTAATGTGAGGGTATTTTTTTGTTTACCTTTTGTCTCAACCTTCGTTGAAAGATGTATAGATTGTCGCACCTTAACAGTGGTAGAGCTAAGCGGTAGCTTTTCCTGTTGCACGGATGGGCCAGCTCGAACTGGGGTGGTACCACAACCTCACAGAAAACCAGCGTGAAGTAGAGGTTTACCTCTGCGTTTCGCTTGGTGAGTGCAGATGGCCGGAGACCCTTTTTACTGGAAATGAGGCATTCCATCTTAGTCCTCACGGGTGACAACGCATCTACATTTTGATTTGTAATAGAGGATAGATGTAGATGTCTATGGGCCGCAGCAACCACTTACCATCAGGTGGACTGTGTGCTCGTTTGTCACCCTTATCCTAAAAAAAAAAACCTTTCTACAAAGAAGTTGGTTGAGGAATAGGATAAGGAATTCCATCTTCATCCTCGGAGGCGGCAACGTATTTGTAGCCTACTTTGTGCGAAGTTGCTTGCAGTTGTCCATGGACTGAAGTAGCTACTAACCACAAGGTGAACAGTTTCACCGGATGGTAAGTGGCTATGCAGTTTTAGCCTTTTTAATAAAAATGTGCAAACTCGGAAAAATTACGACTCGAGTTAACTCGAGTTGAAATTCACGCAACTCTAATTATTAAACTCGAGTTAGAATGACGAAACAGATTAAATTATTTGTGTCAAATGAGGGCTAATAATTTTCTGCTCACCAGATGTCGCTAGTTGAGACTCAGGTAAAGTTTTTTGTTACACAATGTAATTTAATTGAGAAGTTAGTTTTTAATAAAAGTTTGTCAGTTTCTAGAGTATTATATTAATATACAAAACAATGCATCAGTGGTTTGCTCTTTAATTTTTTGCACTTTTTTAACTTTATTTTTTTATTTTTCTACTTCTTGAATATCTGTGGTTTTATTTATTTATTTTTAATGTTATTAATATACAAGGGCATAAACACAAGAAAGAAACAATAACTTTACATTTTCCGAACAAATTAACTGCTCCGTTATGAAATCTGTCAAATATTATACCTCACTTTCTAGTGGCGCCGTCCTGGTGGCAGAAAAAGTCGTGGATGCTCTCATTACTTTTCTATAAATTTGTTTTTTATCTAACCCTTTGGTGGGTTGGGACAACAACAAGTTAACTCGAGTTAGTAACTCTAGTTGGACCCATGGGTACTTTTTAGCCATAGTTGGTTACAACAGTCCATGGGCTGTAGCACCCACTTACTGATTACTAGGTCGACTGTTAGATCGTTTTACGTACTCGTTAACAAATAAAAAATGTTATACGTACCTATAGTTAGGTTGGTAGCATTGACTGTGTTCGCGAATTCAGGGTGTGAATATTGTGTTACTACCTGGAAAGAAAACAGGCATAAATTCTTTTGAAATTAAGAAAATTAATCATTTATCTAAATTAAATTAAATATCTGTTAACTGCCAGCTATCGCTAGTCGCAATTTTATCTGTTCTATTTCACGATACAATAGATCTTCGATCTTCGCTACAACAGGGGAGGCCCAAATCCAGCCAACCAGGCCCAGTCCTGCACTGGATTGTAACGGGCTATTTAAAAGAATGTTCACATTTAAACATAGCTTCCTATCACAAGTAAACCATATGCCTGAAAGGAAGCTCCAATCATGAATACTGTAAGACTAGACTAAGTTATGGAATAAATAATTGTGAATTTTGAATGATGGTATTATGTATATAACGGTGTAGTGGCGGTGTAAGAATATAAACTAATCCATATCGTTTTTCAGTGCCTAGAACATTGCAATGTAGTGCACGATATGAATGACAAGCTCGTGGAAACTGTCCATGCGGTCGGAGCTAAGTTCTGCAAGACCCGCCGCATGGGTATCGTAAGAGGTGACAGAGGGAAACAAACCAGGAGCTGGGCAGCAGCGTCTTTCTAATAACCAACAAAACAAAAAAACTGCGGTGGCCAACCCGTCTGCCGTGAGGTATTCTACGAGGAGGCCTATGTTCTGCAGTGGACTTTGATAGGCTGTTAGGAATTAATGAATGCAGAAATTATGTATATTGTGATAACAATCTATTTTTTTAAATTTATTTTTAGAAAGAGTGTACATTATTTACTTTTTATATTTTTCCAAACCACCACCATCAGGTGAGCTGCATGCTCGTTTAACCCAATCTTCTAATAATAAAAATATATTAATTTTTTTTTTGGATTTCATTTTTTTTAAATCTATGTCTATGTTTATTAAATTAATATATTAAACGGCTCAACCGATTGACTAGAAAGGCGAAAGCTTAAAGTCTCAATGAACACTTTCGAGCGCCGTCATTATTTATTCTGTGACGCCGTGTCGACAATCTCGATCGGCTGACTCGTTCTAAAGATATCGTACGTCAAAATCAAAAAAAAAACGTGGAGATCTGATGAAAACTCGCATTCTCAAATTCGAATCGAAATTTATAACTTCCTATTTTTAACAAAAAAATATTTTCAAAGCGGGAAGTAAAAAAAAAAACATTTCCCTCACACTAAGAATTTTTTTCTAGAAGACTCAATATTCCAAAAGTATTATTTTGTGGGTTAGATCCTTTTCGCATAACAACGTCCAATTATTGCAAACAAACCTTTCCCGCCATCAAACAGGCGACGGCAAATGTGCCCATGGACACATGGGGGGAAGTACCGAAGATCACGTACACCAGCACCGGGAAGAATGCCATGTACAGACCCACGATTGGCGGCACCTCCGCCAGTAACGCGTAAGCCATACCTGCAAATCCAAAATGGATCGGTAATTTATCAATTTATTTAACACTTCTTTGTACTAAAGATACAAACGGTGGAAATTTATATTTGGTCTAATGTATTAATAATTACACTCTCTTGGTATTTGGGGTAAGCAAGGATCATTTATATCGTATTCATTATCATCATTAAAGCCTGTCAAAAGTACACTGCTCATAGGCCTCCCCCAAAGATTGATTTTGCCATAGTTACCACGCATGTCAGGTGGGTTGGCCTTGGCAGGCTCAGTTTGTCTCTATTTTCGGTAATTATTAGGAAGTTACTGTTACCTATCTTCTGTTTCTGATAAAAAAGTGACAAACAATCACACAGTCCTGATGGTAAGTGGTTGCTGTGGCCCATAGACATCTACATATTTATATCCTCGATTAAGAATCAAATGCAGATGCACTGTCACTCCTGAGGACTAAGGTGGCAAGCCTCCTTTCTAGTAAAAGGGCTTTGTTTCTTTTCACTCACCATACGTATTTTGTAACAAGCACCACAGTCCTTCCCCGGTTGAGCAGACCCATTCGCGCTGCAATCATAATATAGCTGCAGCGTGGCCCCACCACGTAAAGCTATAAATCTATGTTATTATAAATAAATAAATTTAAATTATATAAAATCTATGTACATCTAGAAATAACATTAACTTATAATGTCTTTATACAATCTTAATTACCTTGTGGTATATGCATGACAGCGGTAGTTGCTCCTGCCACGAGATCCCCCACCAAGTTTTGTCGAAGGTTGTATTTTGGCAGCCATCGCGCTATTGGGATCGAGTTAAGGAGGCAGTCTCCAAAGCCACAACTCTTCAAAACTTTTTTGCAGCGGTAGCCGACTGTAAACAGAAATAATTAAAATTAAACCAAATCTTGGCGCTCGGCGAACGGAAAACGCCGCTAGATTCATAGATCGTATTTGAATTTTTCTTAATTTTGGTCTGAAGTTAAACTTAGTGAAAGTAAAACTTCAGAAGATTATGTTACACAATCTTTTCTAAATTTATTTAATTGGACAAGTAAAAATGTTCTACAACCGACTTTAACAGAAATAAAATGAGAACATGGTCAAAATCAGTTCACCTAGAAAAACGTTCTGAAGTAACACATAAAAAAAGAAAATACTTCTTCGTCTTGCGCTTGATCTCTTTTCGTTCGTGTCGGACTATACGGGCGAGGGAGTAGAGAGTGCACCTGTGCTTTGTGCACTCGGGTACTATAATCCTGTCCGGCGCAGATGGCTAGTATCAGTTGGCCGCCGTGACCGAAATTCCGTCTGAAGGACATTCTTATAGCTGCAGTGTAGCTCTACGGCGTATAGCGTATAGTGGTACGGCGTACCAGTCTCAAGGGAGGCTAGTTACCGTGACCGAAATTCAATCTGGAGGACATTATTAATAAACCTTGTAAAACTTTAGTTTAGTTTATTTTCATAGCTTAATGGCGTATCTTACTATTGGGTTGGATTTTGAAACTATCTTCTTTGTTTTTACCATGCTGTTTCTAATGTACCTATAATTCAATTGTACTACATTGTAATTATTAATTATTATTTGAACAAGGTTCATATAGCGGAGGTTTTCCCAAATCAGCGGTAAAAGCATAATTTTTTTTATAGGATAAGGGTGACAAGCGAGCACACAGTCCACCTGATGGTAAGTGGTTGCTGTGGCCCAAGTGTTGTGAGGACTAAGATGGAATGCCTCGTTTCCAGTAAAAAGGGTCTCCGGTTCTCTACACTCACCATACGAAACACAGCTGCGTTAAGATGACGTTCAATATACTTGTGATAGACAAGTAATATTTTTTGGTCGTCATTTATATTTTTTACTCAACATCTATTTTCATACGTGGTAGAGCCATGCTGCATCTATATTATGGTTGTAGCACGAATGGGTCGGCTCGACCGGGGAAGGACCACGCTCTCACAGAATACCAGCGTAAAATAGCAGCTTAACGCTGCTGTGTTTCGTATGGTGAGTGTAGAGAACCGGAGACCCTTTTTACTGGAAACGAGGCATTCCATCTTAGTCCTCACGGGTGACAACGCATCTGCATTTTGACTCGTAATCGAAGATAGATGTTTTTTTTTTTTTTTTTTTTATATGAGAGGGGGCAAACGAGCATGCGGCTCACCTGATGGTAAGTGACTACCGCCGCCCATGAACAACCGCAACACCAGGGGAATTGCAGATGCGTTGCCGGCCTTTTAAAAAGGAGTAGGCTCTTTTCTTGAAGGTCCCTAAGTCGTATCGGTCCGGAAAAATCCCTGGTGGTAAACTATTCCACAAGGAAGTTGTGCGAGGAAGAAAACATCTTCTAAATCGCACAGTGGTGGACCGCCAATCATCCAGATGGTGTGGATGGTATCGGGAGTTCTGCCGCGATGTGCGTTCGTGAAATTTGGCGGCTGGGATTAATCCGAACAATTCCTCAGAGCACTCCCCATGGTAGATGCGAAAGAAAATGCAAAGAGATGCAACATCTCTTCGCAGTGCCAATGAATCGAGCCGATCGGAAAGGGCTCGGTCGTCGACGATTCGAGCCGCTCTGCGCTGGATGCGGTCAAGTGGAAGGAGCTGGCACTGGGGAGCCCCTGCCCAGAGATGGGAACAGTATTCCATGTGAGGCCGAACCTGCGCCTTGTAAAGTTGCAGGCGGTGTGCCGGCATGAAATACTGTCCCGCTCTGCTGAGCACGCCAAGCTTTTTAGAGGCCAATTTGGCCTTCTCTTCCAAGTGACCACGAAACTGCACGTCACTCGATATGTCGACTCCGAGGATACCGATACTGGCTGAGGCAAGAAGGGGAGTGCCTTGAAACTGAGGAGATACGACAAAGGGGTTCTTTTTAGCGGTAAACGCGCAAACTTGTGTCTTCTGAGGATTAAACTGGACTAGATTTAGTCGCCCCCAATCCGAGACTTTGTCCAGCAAAGACTCGACTTCAGACACAAGTTTGTTCCGGTACTCGGCGACGTTTTCCCGAGAAATATTGGCCCGGCCGGTGTATAGAGCATCACCAGTGCTGTCATCCGCATAGCAATGAATGTTACCAGTTAGCAACATATCATTGATATGCAGAAGAAACAGCGTTGGTGATAGCACACAGCCTTGTGGAACACCAGCGTTAATAGGCTTGTAGTCAGAACATGCACCGTCTACAACGACCTTGATGCTCCGATCTGCAAGAAAGCTGGTGATCCAATTGCACAATTTCTCGGGAAGCCCATAGGAAGGCAGCTTTGAAAGAAGCGCTTTGTGCCAAACCCGATCAAAGGCCTTCGCAATGTCCAGACTAACGGCCAACGCCTCCCCCTTGGACTCTACTGCCTCCGCCCATCTATGGGTCAGGTAGACAAGAAGATCACCAGCTGATCGACACCGACGAAAACCGTATTGGCGGTCACTAATCAGCTGGTGATCCTCAAGGTACCGGATGAGCTGGCAGTTAATAATGGATTCCATTATTTTGGAGAACAAGGAGGTGATCGCGATAGGCCTATAGTTGGACGGGTCTGAGCGGTCGCCTTTTTTAGGGATCGGGTGGACAAAAGCTGTCTTCCATGAATTCGGGACTACGCCTTGGGAGTAGGAGTACCGGAAAAGACGCGTTAGGACCGGTGCCAACTCCGGAGCACACGTCCTCAGCACAATTGGGGTGATTCCGTCAGGCCCACTCGACTTCTGGATGTCCAGGGAGAGCAGTGCTTTGCGAACCGAGCGCTGTGAGAACAGCACATCCGGCATGGAGCACTCACACCGCGGGATGGTCGGCGGTGTTTTCCCCCCGTCATCAAGAGTCGAGTTGGACGCAAAAAGGGAGCCTAAAAGGTCGGCTTTGTCTTTTGCGTCATGGGCCAGTGAGTCATCCTCCCTGTGCAGAGATGGTAGTGATGGCTTACAGAAATTCCCTTGGACAGCCTTGGCGAGAGACCAGAATGCACGGGTTCCCGAAGGAAGGCGAACTAGTCTCTCGCCAATTCTGCCTATGTGCTCTGACTTTGCCTTGGCAATAACTCTTTTGAAGGACCTGGAGGCGAAGTTATACTTCTTTTTAAGTGTGCTGGTGTTTACATCCCGAGTCACCGAAGCTGCAGCCCAGGCTTGATAACACTCCTGCTTACTGCGCAATGCAGTCTTACAGGAGCGACCAAACCAAGGCTGAGATCTGCCTCCGATGGGTACCACAGATGATGGAATAAATAGTTCCATTCCCTGTAGCACCACATCAGTGACAGAGTCAGCAACAGCACTGGGATCATCCGGCGAGAAGCAAACCCGACCCCATGGGTAGGATGCAAAGAAAGACCGCATTCCGTCCCAATCCGCCGACCTGTAATGCCAAACACGGCGGCAACCTGCAGAACGCAACCGCGAAGGGAGCGTGAGTGGCACCATACTCCGGATCAGACAATGGTCCGAAGAGCCGAGAGGGGCATCGACGGAAACCTGATATCCGTCCGGATGAGAGGTCAGCAGAAGGTCCAACAGGGAAGGTGTATGATCCTCCACATCTGGAATCCGCGTAGGCGAAGTAACCAGTTGTGTCAGACCATATGCCAAGGCAAAGTCATAAACAGATCTCCCCGCATGATCGGTTAAACGTGAACCGAGCCATTCGGCATGGTGGGCGTTAAAATCGCCAAGGATCACGATCTCTGCGGATGGGACCTGTTGTAGCAAGGAATCTGTAGCCATTTGGACGTGGTCGATGAGTCGGTCTGTTTCGGCATTACCGCTATGGGACCTATAGAGGCACCCGTAGACGCGCGGATGGTCGTCGCTGTCTACGCGTAGCCAAAGGATGGACAGGTCCGAACCTTCAAGACTGCCGAGGCGTCGAGAACAGATGTCCTCTCTAACATACACGCAAACTCCAGCCCGAGGCACAAAGGAGTGCTCCAATTTGTACCCCGGGTAGGAGAGATACGAAATATCAGTCGGAGAGGAAACCTGCGTCTCGGTCAAAAAGAGCAAGGCCGGCTTCGCCGTCTCGAGATGGTAGTGGACGGCGTTTAGGTTACAGTGAAGTCCCCTGATGTTGCAGAAATTCACGGATAGCGTGGCAGGGGTCGCCTTGGTATTGTTGCTCAGCTTGCCCCGAGCAGTTTTGTTTTTGAGCGGAATTTTGCCCCCCCCCAGAATACGCGGGGCAGCCTGAGCACCCACGCTCAGGATTGGAATAACATGGTCGTGGATGCTCAGCGAGGGATTCTCCAGGGGTACTGGTACCCTCCTGGGGTAGTCTATTGTCTAATTCCGCTACCATGTTGATGGGGGGGGGGGGGGGGAATTGGGCCTCCGGCCACCTGCACTCACCAGACGAAACGCAGAAGCAGAGCCTCTACTTCACGCCGGTATTCTGTGAGGTCGTGGTACCAACCCGGCTCGAGCCGGCCCATAAGTGCAGCAGCAAAAAACTGCTGCAGGGCTCTACCACCGTAAAGATGTAGATGTCTATGGGCCACAGCGACCACTTACCATCAGGTGGACTGTGTGCTCGTTTGTCACCCTTATCCTATAAAAAAAAATGTTGAATATATTTTAATAGATCAGAAAATATTCTATTCTATTCTATTTCTACAGCTTTACCCTAACTTTAATCTTGTAATCTTCGACAAAGCTGATTTACAGTAGAAAGACTAATCACTAAAGTGCCAGGATATGGTCTTCCACTCGTCCTACAGCTGTAACAGTACCCTACTGCTGTAACAGTACATAGACAAAACCCGGAAATCTGCTTTTTGTTTGAAATTGTATTAAAACTAACCAAGAAAATTATACCGGCGAGGCATTCTTGATACTGTTATTGAAATTATACAATTTACTAAATGCAAAGTGCAATTAACGATTTCATTGATGGCCGGCGGGAATCGAACCTGAATCGCACGCGTACCCAAATAGTCGTATCTTTATAACGTTTTCAAACGTTATAAACATACGACTATTTATTATTAACTACTCATAGCCTACTACTAACTAGTATATTCGTCATCATTGTAGGTGTACCTATGTACGTACCCCCGAACGGATTTCCGCTTTGTCGTGGCGGCGTGGCTCAGTAGCCACTCCGTGGTCACCCATGATGAACAAAGAAGAACCAACGCCGGCTCTACGAGGTAGCCGCTACGAGTGGGCTTACCTAGCCTACTCCAGATGTGCGTTGGTAGACTGTTGCGGGAGGGCTGTCCTCTCCCCATTTCCGTCGCTACCGAGGTGGGGTCGCGGTGGTAGAGGAGTGCGAGGACTCCATCACCACTTACTACCATGTGAGATCGTGGCCAAGCACTGGCTAATTATAAGTAAAAAAAGTGCGGGTATTGCGAGGTGCTGCCAATATGCGACGAAGGCGAAACACCATGGGGTTTTATTCGGTGCGAGTCCGACATAACCCGTCTTTGCCCCCGCGAGGCGGGTAATGCGTAGGCATTTCCCCATGTAAAAATGGTATACTTACGTGGCTTTTCTGGCACTTGGTAGTCGGCGTCCTTGTTCAGTGCATCTTGCTGGTAAACGCGTCTGATAACGTTGAACTGCTGGCTGGGGCGGGACGGGAGCCTGTAACAAAGGATAAGAGTATTAAATATAAAAAGAAATTTAAATTATTATATTAAGGTTTTATATTTAATTTTATTTATTTCAACAAAGTACCGTACAGTTTTAATTACAGCTAACTGCGCTCGCGACTTCGTTCGAACCCTAAACTTTTTTCTAAAATAAAAGTATCTTAAGTTACTCTTTATAACATAAGATATCTGCCAGTGAAAGTCCAGCCGTTTCGGAGATTAGCCGGAACAAACAGACAGACAGACAGACGGACAGACAGACAAAAATTTCAAAAATTGATTTTTTGTTATTCGTACCGTAAATACTTTTATATGCATTTAGTAAAAAGCTGTCATTTTGAAATCACAAACGGACACTTCAATTTTCTTTATTTGTATATAGATAAAAAAAATTGTGGCAATAAACATCATTTTGTATCTCTTGCACAGTTTGCTATTATATATTATTTTACATAAACAAAATATAAAGCACTATGTTAAAATTATGTAAAATATTAAAAAAATTCTTTTTTCACAATTACATTATTTTATCGTGTGTTTATAATATTTTTTATACCATACATTATTTTTGTGGAGAAGGTAGTTTTTAATATTAAGTTAGAATAAACCTAGCAAGCTAACAGCATAGCAAAGTGGCGAAGCAATCAGCTTTGTAGCAGTTTCTAACGGTTGCCGTTGAGCAATCAGTTTGAAAATAGGAGGTTCAGATGCCTGGGTGATCAGTAATCGATTGCTGAAAACAGAATTTGAAAATTCAAAACCGTTCTCGAGATAATCGTGGGACAGACGGACAGACGGACAGACATCGTGAAATCAATAAGTGACTTCGCAAGCTTCGCCACTTAATAATGCATAACAATATGGTTACAGTAACGAAGCATTAGTTGCTGTCATCTCATTTTGATGTTTTAAGAAATATATCCACCGTGTAGTGACGGCGTATAAACATCCACTACCCTATATTATGGTCCTGTGGGCGACAGAGGAAAACTTAAACAAGATATGGGCAGCGACATCTTTCTCATAACAACTCAAAACAATAAAAAATGCGGTTGCCACCCCGCCTGCCAAACATGGCAACTATCGTCAAATTCCTCCTATGAAGCAATTTATGGGGGAGGCATATGTTCAGCAGTGGACTTTATAGGATGTAATGGATAGATGGATAGGGAATAGAATAGAATGATTTTTTTATTCAATACTAGCTGTTCCCCGCAACTTTTTTTATAGGATAGGGTGACAAACGAGCACACAATCCACCTGATAGTAAGTGGTTACTGTGGCCCATAGACATCTACATCTATCCTCGTTTGCTAATCAAAATGCAGATGCGTTGTAACCCGTGACGACTAAGATGGAATGCCTCTTTTCAAGTAAAAAGAGTTTACACTCACCATTCGAACCACAGCAGCGTTAAGCTGCTATTTTACGCTGGTATTCTGTGAGAGCGTGGTGATGCCCCGGTCGAGCCGACCTATTCGTGCTACAACTATACTACTAATATAACTGTAGCATGGCGCTCTACCACGTACATAAACTTCGCCCGCGTGTAATTTAAGGGTTTATTTATGTTGAGAGTGTGAATGAAAGTGTTGGAAGGGGTAGACTGGGGTAGACCTAGGCGGACATTTCTAGACCAAATCAGGGACGTCTTGAAAAAAGGCCAGGTCAAGAGTACCCTAAACCGTAGAGCATGTATGAAGGGAATAATGAAAGTGGACGAAGCGAAACAAGTATGTAAGGATCGTAGCAAGTGGAAAGAAGTGGTCTCTGCCTACCCCTACAGGAAAGAGGCGTGATTATATGTATGTATGTAAGTCTGTAATGTTATGTTGCGCGGAACTCTACTTATTTTTCTAAAATATAAGTAGTCTAAGTTACTCCTTACTACATCAGCTATCCGCCAGTGAAAGTCCCATCGAAATAGGTCCAGCCGTTTCGGAGATTAGCCGGAACAAACAGACAGACAGACAAAAATGTTAAAAGTTGTGTTTTTGTTATAAGTACCGTATATAATTTCATATGCATTTAGTACAAAGCTGTTATTTTGACATTACAAACAGACAATTCAATTTTATTTATTTGTATAGATTGATTATTACATAATACTTATTGAAAGTCATTTTTTATTTACCACTGGTTCGGGATGGATGCAATATATAATTGGTAAGACTTCTTTAGTGTTTGTCTGTCATTTAGGAATGAAAAAGAAACAATATTATTTTTTATTTTTGGCCACTTGGCAAGTGTTACGACCATTAAACCCACGAGTCAATTATTCCATTCATTACAGCAAAAAAAAGTCCACTGTTGATCATAGGCCTCTCCTTAGTTAGCCTCAAAGCCTGGTGGATATTTGCCTTAGTTGCTACGACTGGCAGGCAAGTTGGTAACCGTAGATGTTTCCTCTATATTCTCTATCCTAATTGGGAAGACGCTGCTGCCCATTTCTTGGTTTGCTTTCCCCTGTCACCTTTTGCAACGCCCACGGGACGACACGGGATATAATTACACCGCCACTAGATGGTTGCACGAGGCAGTTTTCTATTTGGTATAAATATTCTGAAAAGTGAGGATAAGTAGCGGGAACAATAATATTATTTTTTGTGTATATAATCATTAACATATTCTAAGATATAATTAAGAATGGTAAACATTAATATGTATTTAAACAATTCAATCTAATGAGTTTAGTTTCTAAATAAATACAAACAGTATAGTATTTGGTATCCATATAATTATGACTTTTAACCAAAGTAAAAACAGACTTTAAATTGCTAAAAAAGAAGTTATTTATTTGCTACCCTTAGGGGTGGAACTTTTCCCTTTATATTTTTTTATGGGACCACCCTTAAATTCCTATCTGTTTAGTAAAAGAATAATAAATTGAAATCGCTTCTCGATCTGCGAAGATACCATATGAAATTCTTTAAACAATTAGTCCAATATGAAAATGTTCCCCTATTTTCCACCCTTGGGAGCGTTATTTTTTCTACAAAATGTAATGGGAGCACTCTTCAGGTAAAGTCTATTTAATAAAAAAAGATTCATTAAAATCGGTTCACAATCTGCGAAGATATCGCGTAATATACACACCGTAAAAAAACGTACACTCTTACGTGGTAGAGCCATGCTGTAGCTATATTAGTAGTATAGTTATAGCACGAATAGGTCGGCTCGACCGGGGTAGGACCACGCTCTCATAGAATACCAGCGTAAAATAGCAGCTTAACACTGCTGTGTTTCGTGTGGTGAGTGTAGAGAAGCGGAGACCCTTTTTACTGGAAATGAGGCATTCCATCTTAGTCCTCACGGGTGAAAACGCATCTGCAATTTGATTCATAGACGAGGAAAAATGTAGATGTCTATGGGCCACAGCAACCATTTACCATCAGGTGGACTGTGTGCTCGTTTGTCATTGTATCCTATAACAAAAACACAAAAAAAAACTCGAATTGAGCACCTCCTCCTTTTTGAGGTCGGATAAAAATAACATAAAACAGAGGCGATATTATCCTTCTTACTAGATTTCGAATATGGCGGCCAGTCTCAACGAAGACTAACCCCATAAGCGCAGTACAGAATTATAGTTCACGAATATATGAGCAAGCACATGTGCACTCTCTATTCCCTCACTCTCATAGTCCGATAGGACGGTAATCCGACACGTACGGAGAGAGATCATGCGCGGGACTAACGGCTTTACGAAGCACGGGGTGAAACTCCACTAACTTCCTGACCCCCGGGCCGCTACTAAGAATTTCTTGATAGAACAAACTCATAACTGATTTTTGGACCGACCCGGGATCCAAACCTGGAACCTCATGATAAACAGTCGCGCTTAACACCACGAGACCAACGAGACAGTAAAAAAAGACGGAGAGAGGATGCATTATTAACAGACAAAAACTTATTCATCCATCCATTAAAGCCTATAAAAGTCCACTGCTGAACACAGGACTTTCCATAGATTGCCTCATAGAGGCAATTTTGCCATAGTTGCTAAGCTTAGCAACTATGGCCTGGTCGGAAACCGAATTTTTATTAACCGACTTCAAAAAAGGAGGAGGTACTCTATTCGACTGTATTTTTTGTGTGTGTTACCTCGGAACATTTTTGTAGGTGAAGCGACTTTGATGATTCTTTTTCTACTTTTTTTATTTGAAAGCTGGTGCTTCCCATGTGGTTCCATATAAATTTGATCAAGATCTGACTAGTAGTTTTTGAGTTGTTCTTAATAATGCGTATTTAATTGACATCGACTGCACTGATGACGATCTCGTTTTATTTATATTGTAGTCGGTTGTAAAAAAATAAATAATTTAACCACATGTTATATTGTTGGTGAGTTGTTAAGATGCTGCTGCCCATTTTATAAATATTAAAGCTTTAATTGGCATTAATACCCTTAATTATAACAATGAGGATACGTAAAGACACATGCTAGCCAAAACAAAATAACAATAATATGTTTATTGTAAATACAAGCTTGAAACGTCTGTTCTTATCTTTAATGATAGCTTTCACTGTAAAATGCTAAACTCGCATCTGCTTCGATGCAGTTCCTACTAGAATAGGGTCAAAACATTGTAATGAAAATATAGATACGTACGTTAAACTTACAAAACGGAGTCTAAACCATTCTAGTACCAAAACCAAGCAAGAACGAATTTGTGTAAGAATTTCCACCTTTCATCATCACAGTCCCTCACCAGTCAACTACTGAATATAGGTCTCCATCATTAAATGCGGCCCTGAGCCACCTGTATCCATCTACTTCCAGCTAGGGCCGGATTAAGGCATATAGAATAGAAGCCTTTAAGTGATGTGTGTGTCGGGCTCCTCTCTCTTTTCTAACTTCTTATCATCATCATTACATCAAGTCCACTACTGAAATAAGGCCTCCCCCATGTAATGACACAAACCACGGTCCTGAACTACTTGCATCCATCGACTTCCTCATATGTTACAAGGTCGTCACTCCGTCAAGATAAGTGTGGTTATTACTTTATCACTTCGCTTACTGATATGAGACTGCCACTCGAGAACTTTTCTTCCCTATCGATCGTCTGTACTTCTAGTATCCATCCAGTCCAGTTTACTTGTCCGTGGGCTAGTCGGCCAAGTTCTTAAATTACGTAATAATGTTTTTCTATGGCCGCGGGGCCCATAGGCAGTAGCTGATTTCATCTTTAGATTATTTAAGCCCTGTTCAAAGTATGACTACAACTTTCAAAAGTAAGATATATTTTTATAATAGGATACGGGCGACAAACGAGCACACAGTCCACCTGATGGTAAGTAGTTACTGTGACCCATAGACATCTACATCTATTCTCGACTACGAATCAAAATGCAGATGCGTTGTCAGCCATGAGGACTAAAAAGGAATGCCTCTTTTCCAGTAAAAGGGTCTCAGGTTCTCTACACTCACCATACGATATGCGTTAAGCTGCTATTTTACGCTGATATTCTGTGAGAGCGTGGTCCTTGCCCGGTTGAGCAGACCCATTCGTGCTACACCGTGGCTCACCTATAGCTCTAACGTATAAATATAATTATATAGGACAAAAAATGAAAAGCGAAGAAATAGGAAAGGAAGTTTTCATGTAGTTCGGCTTCACCAACAGTGTCCGGCGATCTCGCTGGATAGAGTGACATATTTATTAAATTTTATTTGAAAATCTTTATTGTTTTCCTTTAGAAATAAAGGATACAAAGGGTGGACATAATGCCTAAAGGCATTCTCTGCCTGTCAAACTATACTTTTTTTATAGGATAAGGGTGACAAGCGAGCACACAGTCCACCTGATGGTATGCGGATGCTGAGGCTTATAGACATCTACATCTATCCTCGATTAAAATTCAAAATGTAGATGCGTTGTCACCCTTGAGGATTAAGATGGAATGCCTCGTTTCCAGTAAAAGGGTTTTATATATCATACTGATTGCATACGGCACTAATTTGCGTCGCAGAAGGTATGGAGTAACACTTTGATTGTAAGCAGCAATAATTGGTGTCGCAGAACACGAAAAGTCACAACCACCGAACCGAACAGAAGACAATCACAACTGTAAGAAAACCAACGATAGGAGACAATATCGTTGGTTTTCATATAGTTTTCATATAATAGTTGACAATATCATTAATAAATTACTTCATTTAGAACTCATTATGAATTACCTTAATTTAGTAGTGTTTTAAAATTTCGTGGATTTGCTATCTAAAGTTAAATTAAATTTTACCCGACTGCCCCAGAAGAAAGGTAATGATTTCCGAGAGTATGCAATATGTGACTTGATGGATTTTAACACATGAGGTGTCGTTATATTCGTCTTAATTGTGGAGGCTGTATGATATTTATATATTGCATCTGCAATAAAAAAAAGGAGCGGAAAGTTTTTTATTACCGACTTCAAAAAGGAGCCGGTATTCTATACGGCAGTATGTTTTTTTTATGTGTGTTACCTCATAACTTTTTACTGGGTGAACCGATTTCGATGATTCTTTTTTTATTTGAAAGCTAGTGTTTCTCATGTGGTCCCATATAAATTTGATCAAGGTCTGGCCAATAGTTTTTGAGTTATTCTTAATAATTTATATTGAAGTCGGTTGTACAAAATTTTTAATTTTTAATTATAGCTTATTCAGTAAGCTTTTTAACGTGGTCGTGTATTTTTAATTACTGTTTTAACCATTTAATTTAATTCAGGTTGTTAAGCATTTTAAAATATAAAAATAATATAATTATTGACGTTATTATACTCGAATTTTCTTATACAATTACAATAGAAAATAGTAAATGTTTGTATTGACGTCGCAAAACCCTACAGACGTTCTCGTGCTTGTATAAGTGTATACCTCATAGCGATCAGTATAACGATAGTCATGCTGCAGTACCATTTATGGTGAGTTACAACAAAGTGGTTAGCAGCTTAGTCTTTCTCCATGAAAAAATACATATTAAATGCCAACTTTTATAGTGACAAACGGTGCCGAAGTCTTTTAACCTAGAACAGATAATACCAAAATCCATTATTTATATAAAAAAATATGGAGCTATATTATATATTTCAATTGCGTACAGTGTCAAACAGTTAATTTTTGATTTTGTAAGTCTGAAAATTGATGCTGCTTGTGGCGTATAGTAGAGATACTGGCCACATTGCGTGATCATTGTTTTTAATATTGACTCGTTAGCCATTCAAATTTCAAATCTTTTGACTTTAACGCTGCGGGTCACAAGATCGATTCCAGCTAGCGATAAGTAGATTGTATGGCCAACAAATTAATGATTGTTCCGCATCTGAATGTTTCTTTCTTCTTTTTTAGCCGTAAAAATCTACTGCTGGACAGAGGCCTCTCCCGTTATAGAAAGCATTTGCCTTAAAGGTGACACAAGTCGACATTTTTTCCATAGAAATTTCGGGAGGGTATTACTTCGCTGTTTGACACTGTACATCCAAAGTTAAACATGATATCGTTTTGTATCATTATTAGTTTTGTCTGTGCGGAAACAGAATAGTAAAATAAAAATCCTTTAAAAGGTTACGAACTACCAAAGATTCGTTTTTATTGCCAATTTTAACACAACTTTGAGCGTAAATTAGTAGCACGGCTTTGTAGGTACTTGCTGATTTCTCAGCAAGCGTCGAGCGGTACACACAACGTAGGGCGGTATGTATGTGTGCATCGTTTTTTTTATAGGATAGGGTGACAAACGAGCACACAGTCCACCTGATGGTAAGTGGTTGCTGTGGCCCATAGACATTTACATTTATCCTCGTTTGCGAAAGTACAGATGCGTTGTCAGCCGTGAGGACTAAGATGGAATGCCTCTTTTCCAGTAAAAAGGGTCTCCGGTTCTCTACACTCACCATATGAAACAGCAGCATGAAGCTGCTATTTGACGCTGGTGTTCTGTGAGAGCGTGGTCCTGCCCCGGTCGAACCGACCCATTCGTGCTACAACTATACTACTAATATAGCTGCAGCATGGCTCAACCACGTAAAAACGTGGCACGTGTTCTTGTAACTACGTTTTTGTTCGAACGGTTCGACGTGCGTGAAGATTAGCGTCTAACTGTTCATCAATGATACAATCTCTGTCGGGCACGATGTCAGGTGAGACAGCGTGCTGTTTGGCCACGCCCACCGGTGAGTCCGAGCCCGCAACTTGTGCCACCTTCTTCACGCTTGGCAGGCGGACTAACGATCGCAGAGCCACGATGCAATAAAGTGCAGATGCCTCGCACCCTCGACGCTGCAGCCCGCCCGTGGTCTAATAAGGTATTCACGTCTGGTGTAAACGAGACGACTATATTACACTCACGGGGTGGAATGGGCCGCCAACAAACGCCAGCATGGCTGAATGCTCAAAAGATGTTTTTTTTTTACAAACAATTTAGGTTAAATACGTTGAAAAATCAATTTGCTAAGATCAGCGTATTAAAATAAAATGATGTCTGACCTATTTTGAAGAGTACCGCCATTTAGTATTATAAAAACGGCTGAAGTACGTTAAAAGTTATTTAGAATTCTTTTTGCGAGTACTTGCCACTCATTATCGCTAACGTGATGGTCCTGCAGCAGCGGTTCATTCTCACTACCACTGTCCTTGAAGTCTTCATCAAAGAATATAAAAGTTTTCCTCAATCGCATTGTCACCACTTAACCAGATAGGCGAGAAATTTCTTAAACTTAGCAAAACTACTTCTAGATCGTTAGCACAGTCTCTACCGTCAATTCAAACGTAAGAAATTCTATACAAATAAATACAATTTAAGTGTCACTTTGTAATATCAAAATAACAGGTTTTTACTTAAGGCATATGAAAGTATATACGGCACTTATAAAAAAAAGTAATATTTTTTTTTGAAATTTTTGTCTCCAAAATAGGTGGACCGATTTTGACGGGACTTTCACTGGCAGATAGCTGATATTATAAGGAGTAATTAAGACTACTTATAGATTAGAAAAGTAATTAGGGTTCCGCATAAAAAAATTATAAGCCATGAAATCGTAATAAATTCCACGCGGGCGAAATCACGAGGAACAGCTAGTTCTAAATATAAGTTTAAAAGTTATTTAGACAATAGGTGTAATCAGTATACATACTGTTAATTTATTTAATGATGTTTAAAAAACAAATTTTAACCCTTTACTTGGCAGATATTTTTTTCCTTATTTTATTGTTTTTCTTTCAATCAGGGTGTTTAATTAGGTAAATAAAAGGTGAATAAAATATTAAAAAAAATCTTTTGCTTTTAGATATTTTTTTATTGAACGTATCCTGCAGTGCACACTGCCAGATAAGCAACTATTTACATGATAATAAGTACGTATCCTGACAGATACAGTGCCATGTTTACATTGTAACAAAAAATAGATTCTAATTGTAATTAATCAACAATTATTTATTATTTTTATTATCAAATAAACAGTTTTATAATTATGAGATCACGTTATATAATCAAACAATACAAATTATTTGCTTTACAATATTATTTGGTATGATACGAGTATGCATGAAAACAGTTGCGCTCTTCTACCAAACAAAGTCTTAATTTACATTTTTGACAATGAATTGGCCTTTTGTGCAATTTTTTCCACCTGCCTTTAGTTTGAAATACTGGCATATGCCCAACTTGAACATATCATACAGCGACAATGGGTCTCTCTGCAGCTCGTTTTTTTATTAGGGGTACATAATTTTTGAGTTTATTGGCAGAAACGCCTCTGTCAAACAAAAGTAAGCTTCGGTAAATTTCATATCTGAATTCTTTCAATGGCATTAATTTTGACTTATTTGATGCACCTCGTCGGTACATAATCCAAGCGTTATTACATATGACATATATTAGACATATTACATATTTCAAGGATTTGCGAAAACAGAGGTAGATACAAGCGATGTCCCTTGAGTTCTGTACTGTATAATGCAATAAGCATATCCGCTAAATCAACGCCACCCATATTGGAGTTGTACTCCTTTATCATTCGTGGACATGGTACTGGTAGGTATTTTCTTTCTCAGTACTTTGTTATACCGTGGTACAGTTTGGAGAGTATGTGAGTCTACGTATGTGCTTGCAACAGTAACGCATTTGTTGTCGTACCACTTGGTAACAACAATCTTGTTTTTGTTATACACAACCTGAGCATGTGTACCTCACTTTCTTTTTTATTTTTTTATCAGTAGGAAGTTTCTCCGATGCTCCACGAAGTCGGTTGAATCTAACAGTTCCCAAAGAAAAAATACCGTATCCATTTCTCAGTCGGTGCATCAATTCAATTGAGATAAAGAAGTTGTCAAAGCACAAGATTTTACAAGCAGGCTGGCAAATGGATTTGGTTAGAGCTATGACGACTTTTGCACCTAATCCCATGCTTTCTTCTTCTTCGGTAAACAAAGTGAACTGGAATGTATCTTCCCCTCCATATACCAAAGTCATATACAATGCCCGAAACACCCTGGCTTTGGTGAACTAATTTCAGCAGCTTGTAACAGTAAAATTGATGATGATTGCCTTGGTGACAAAATTGATGGCGAAGCGCAAGTATCACTTGCAGGCGATGAGTACAGTTGCAAAGCTGGAGAATTGTGCGTTATTTCATCTATCTCTTTATTGCTATCCGATAATAGGTTTAGATCCAACAAAGACGATGACAAAGATGGAGGTGGAGAGCTACTGTCTGAAAGAGTTGGAGGGATATACTTATATAACCCATCAGCTGAATCATCTCTGCTACCTACATCTGATCTAGCTCCAGATTTTGGAACTAGGGCTAGAATTCTGCGGGCTCTGTTTAGTTGTTGTTGAAGCTTTTGTTGTGAAATCTGGAAACAAACATTTATTATCGTACAACTTATCTTAAATATGTATGAGCATTTGTACCAAAGCATACATAATTATAAAAAAAATATTTCTATCTACTACAGTTACTGTGTACAAGTGTTACACAAATTATTTTTTTTTAATTTATTTAAATGTGTTGATTAGGAATATAAAAAATCAACAATTATCTTTTTTTTGCATAGACATAAATTCACTGATAAACTGGCAGTGTATCTTCATAGACACATGTCAAAGTAGCACTAGTTTCTTGCGCAGCTGGCAGTGTATACTCAGAGATACATATGGACAAACTGAGTTGTAAAATCGAATATATAAAGTTTTGATATCAATAAATTACATCCAGGAATAATATAGTATTACTGCATTTACTTTCACTTCAAATAATAATGAAAAATGCATAAAAAAGTAGCAAAATACATAATACTTACCGGCTTGTGCGTACACGCCTGCTTACGGTCTACCATCTTGCGGGCTACTGACAGTTCAGTGTTACCAGCAATAAAACTATAAATCCTACTAAATATCATAGTTCATAAACTAACTTATTACAAGAAAATCTATGTCAAAATTCGTTTAGTTTTCCTACAATATTTTTTTAAAGAGTAGTGTATCCACTGATGCACTCTGCCAAGTTAAGGGTTAAGTAAGCCTAAGATCTCGAGTTTTAAAATTATCTTCAGTTTTTAAACCAGCCGCTTTTTAATTTGTTATTCTCAAGCTGAAACTTGCTTAGAATATGTACTAAATAATTTAGTAATTAATTGATTCCTTCAAATAACTCGATATTTCATGTTTTTAATTTACGTGATACATTAATTTCACGGAACTCAAGGCCAAAAGCCCTTCCTTATTTTTGAGTGTTTATGTTAAACTAGCTGAACGCCGGGACTTCGCTCGCGTCGAAATAATTACGATTGGATATCATGGAATTCTTTTTTTGCGCGGTACCCTAGTTCTTTTTCTAAAATAAAAGATGCCTAAGTTACTTACTATAACATCAGCTAACTATCTACCAGTGAAAGTCTCGTCAAAATCGATCCAGCCATTTCGGAGATAAGCCGGAACAAACAGATAGACAGAGAGACAAGAATTTTAATAATTGTTTTTATTATATAATATCGTATATACGAATTCAGTAAAAAGCTGTTATTTTGACATTACAAACAGACAGTATAATTTTATTTATTTGTTTAAATAGCATTGTTTGGATTTAAATCGATGGAGTCCAAAAAATACTTTAAGCCGAATACTTTTTACGCTTTTGCCTCCTTCACAGTTTAAAAAGTTAAAAACACTCTCACACAATAATTCACTGTTTCAAGTTTTGTGTAACGGTTAAAGTGGAGAAGTAATTCGCGACGTGCAGTTATAACAGCGATTTGAAAGGAACTGTACTTGTTGTTAAATTACAATAAGACTATTGATAACGCAAGCAGACACGCATGGATGGTCAACTATTGGCAACTTTGATTATTTAGCAATAAAAAAATATTTCATCATCATAAAAAATATTTTAAATAGAAATACTTAAAGTACCAGAATAGACAAGAAACTTTACTCATAGAAGACTCACCGTTTAGTGGATGTGTAAGAATATCCACTACCCCATATCATCCCGTGGGTGTCGTAAGCGACAGGCGACAGAGCGTCTTCCTAATAACGACTAAAATAAAAAATAAAACTGCGGTTGCCAATCCGCTTGCCAAGCATGGCAACTTTTGCAAATTTCCCCTTTACGAGGCAATCTATGGGAGAGGATTATGTTTAGCACTGGAATTTAATAGGCTGTTACGGTAATGGTAGACTTAAAATAAACTCAAAGGGACAATGAGAACATCTGGTGAACGGAATATTTTATTTTATTTATTTATTTATATATTTACTAACTCACAATTGTTATTACAGGAGTGGAGCCTAATGCAACAATGTGGCCACTAATGTAAAAAAGACAAATAGTTTAATGTCACGCTCTCGAATTCCGCCAATGTACAATTAAATATGTCTAATCGTGGTGCTACGATGTTAAGCATTCTAGCTGCACGAACAACCGGTGCGTACTTTAAGATATTTGTGCGAGCAACTGGTACGTCCAGCAACCCTCCCCTCATCCCCCGTAGCAGCCTAGAATTAGGCACGAGGAACCTCAGTGATTCCAGAATTTCCAGATTGTTTAATCTACCACGTAATATCAAGTATATGTACTTAAGTAGCGCAAAGTTCCGTCTAACGTCTATTATTAATTCCGCTCACCAGATGTCACTAGTCGACACTGGGGTAAAGTTTTTTGTTACACAATGTTATTTTAAATGTGAAGTTAGTTTTAACTTTAAATAAAATTTTATCAGTTACTATATATATATATACTAATCAAACACAAAACAACGCCTCAGTGGTTTGCTCTTTAAATTTACACCTTTTTTTAATTTTTCAACTTTTAAGAATAATATCTGTGGGTTTGTTTATTTATTTTTAATCTAATTAATATAAAATGTAACTAATGGTACAAAAACAAACATTAACCTGTACTATTTTCAAATAAATTAACTTCCCCGCTATGAAATCTGTCAAATATACCTCACTTTTAAGTGGCGCCGCTCTGGTGGCAGAAAAAGTCGTGTATTCTTGTGTAGTGTGTGTGTAGTGGAGCTTATTCAACGGCGTCTTTCGATACTTGGCGAATTTCTAATATAACAGAAAGCTGGCAACTGGGATGGACTGACAGATAAAAAGTAAGAACAGTCCAAATGCATCACAGCTAGGTACAGGCAGCAATAACATACTGAAAGGGATTTGGGTCAGGGGAGAGGTTGCCACACTGCCCTGCATGCTGGTGGACATGCATTCAAATTATTTTTGAAGTGAAAAGGTTTTAGGCACGTTTTTGGGCATTTTTGGGATGGGGAAAAGCACTGAACGCTTTTTCCCCATTACTTTCATCAATTTCATGTCACGCTCGAATACATAAAATTAAAAAAAAAAATTTCAAAATCTAATTGGTAAAATTTTATAAAATTGATACGTACGTATACGTATTGATACGTTGATAAAAATAATCTATCTATCTATACTAGAATAAAACTGAAACACGACGTCTGTCTGAACATGCATCATGCAAAAACCTGTGAACTGATTTTGACGGGACTTTCACTGGCAGATTGCTGATATTACAAGGAGTAACTTAGGCTACATTTAATTTAGGAAAAGAATTAGGGTTCCGCGCAAAAAAATTAAAACCCACGAAATCCAAATTCCACGCGGGCGAAGTTGAGGGGAACAGCTAGTTTCCAATAAAAAAAAAATACTTCATAAAAATATTTCTTAACAAACCAAAAATAATGTTTACAAGTTTGTGAAGCCAAGAATTTGTCACTTCTGACGTGCGGTCCTACGACTGACAGTTTTTTTTTAACTTTACTGTCTATAAAATCGTTTTCAGCGCTTTAAATAATATAATGTATTCATTTTTTATATAAAACTGAAATGACAAACGAACTTGAAGTCACCTGGTAGTAAGTGGCTACTGCAGCCCATGGACACCTGCAGCCAACTTCTTACAAAGAAAGCCGATGCGTTGTCACCTCTGAAACCACACCGGAACATAGCAAGCTCTGCCGTTTGACGGTTGAAATAGGTAAAAGCGTGGTACCTACTTACTTATTTCTGACCAACAAACAGTTCTTTGTTAAATATCTGACGTTTAGAGTTCCGTCAGCGTTGTTCTATATAAAACTAACTGTTCCCCGCGACTTCGCCCGCGTGTAATTTAGGTTTTTTTTTTGCGCGGAACCCTAATTCTTTTTCTTAAATAAAAGTAGCCTAAGTTACTCCTTATAACATCAGCTGTCTGCCAGTGAAAGTCCCATCAAAATCGGTGCCGCCGTTTCGGAGATTAGCCGGAACAAACAGACAGACAGATAAAAATATTAAAAATTGTGTATTTGTTATAAGTACGATATATACTTCCATATGCATTTAATGAAAAACTGTTATTTTGACATTACAAACAGACACTCCAATTTTATTTATTTGTATCTAGACATTAAAAATGTCAAATTCGGAAATCTAGTAAATATTTTTTCAAACCACTGGTTGAGTACCCCTGCGCCATTATCGATATTAATTGTAATTAGTCATGTGATGTTTTTGATACGCCACATTTAAATCAAAGTTTACGGACCAACTAACAACAAAACAATTCTACAATATCGATTATAGTATGATGCAATATTTAATATCATACCAATACATTATTTCCTATTCCTTAGTACCTTTTCCAAGTTTGACTCAGTGGCCTCTATCTGATAGAGTGAACAATGGCCGCCCATTGTAAGCTTTAGTTCTAGGGTGAACAACAATCTATATCTATACATATAATAAAACTGTAAATAGCAGATGTCTGTACATTTTATATTTTTGTAATAAAAGTGATTGAGGGGTACTAAAAATAAGTAATTAAATACATTTCTACCATTTTTAGAATTTTCTGTCTGTCTGTCTGTCTGTCTGTCTGTCTGTTTGTTTGTTAACGTATCACGTATAAAGTACTAATTTATATCATAAGAATTGTTAAGGAAATTATAAAGTGTATCTTCGGGTTACATTTAGTCTTTATTTCATTAAAATCAGTTCATTCCATCAAAAGTTATGATAAATATTCTGAAGTATGGGTAGGGAAGTATAGGTACGAATTTGCTCAACGGTGGCTTTGTTTGAGTCATCAAGTGCATTTTAAACTAATATCATATCATAAATCATAGTTAAATTATGTAAAATAATGATATAATTATGTATATCTAAAACGCAGTAAACAAAAGTATTAAAGAACGTATTAAATATATTATACAAAAATATATTAACCTTATTAACTAAATCTGAAGCACAATAGTTAACCCATTTCTTCGATAGATGGTGGTGTGGCATAAATGTGATACAAAAAGGCAGGTTAAAATTTATTCCTGTAGTTGAGTTTCATATTTGCTTCTAACCTTTATATTAATGACACGCTGCCCTACTGCGTGTTGACAATCTCATTTATTTTTTATTTTTTTACCGCCGAGTACTCTATGTGGTAAATCAAATTTTAAGAGCTATTAACAATTTCATTTTTCGGCGAGGATAAAACTTTCTTTTTTGCTTACTATGCAGGCACTGCTTTATAAGTTCTTTTATGTTTTTTATTGTATCAATCGTGTGAATTAATCTCTTATTTTTAGAATTGATGTTAACAGCGCCATCTCTCTTAAATCTATACATATAATAAAAATGGTAATAACATGTTATGTCTGTTTCTGAATATTGTATAGTATATTAATTTGCGACTAAAATCATTATTGGGACTGTAAATCATTAAATAAGTAAATTTTTATAATTTTTAGAATTGTACTATCTGACGGTCTGTCTGTTTGTTTATGGACGCATGACGTTTTGAGTAAACATCTTTTTTTTTTCAATGAAATCCTTAAGAAAATCATAAAGCGTATTATCAAGTTCATTTAATCTTTGTTTTATTGAAATTGGTTAATTCTATCGAAAGTCATGATTATTATTTTGAAATGTAGGTTCGAATTTGCTTAATGGCGCCACAAAATCCCAAAAATAGTAATAAAAAGATTCGTGTGTAAAAAAACGTTCTATTATAATATATTTCGTATCGTTCTATTATAGTACTTAAAACACAGTAAAAATATGTTTTCCTTAAATTAAAAAAGGATGTTTTCTCACAAAGAACGTAATAGATGGCGTTGTACAAATTACAACCTTTTCTGAATTGCGGTGTTAAGATTTTTCGCAGGTGAATCGTATTGATACTCACTGTAATAATTTATGACCATGAGCCTGACGAAGCTGTAAGCCTGTAAGGTATAGATACAGAGGTATTGAAATATTTAATTATTCAACAAAACTCGACTAAAACTAAAAGTAACAAAATTGCAATAAATGTCGTGATGGTGATATTGTTTTATAGCCAGAATCACTCTAATACCAAATAACTTTTTTTTCAGTTTTAAGTAAAGTAAAGTTGCAGCCTATTTACGTCCCACTGCTGGGCACAGGCCTCCTCTCATTTCTGAGAGGGTTTTAGGGCAAGGAAATGTCCACCGCGCTGCCCCAATACGTGTTGGCGAACTTCACATGTCATCGAAATATTATTTTTTATTTCTCAAACATGCAGATTTCCTCACGATTTTTTCCTTCACCGCCGAGCACGTGGTAAATCAGCACTTAAAATTGCAATTGACAATTTCATTGGTGCCGGCGGGGATCGAACCCGGGTTGCTCGAGTACTGTGAAGCTTACAGCGAGCGCTAACCATCTGAGCTACCACGGCTCAGGCTTCAGTTTTAAGATAGGGATAATAACATCGATGTTGGCATCGCTAGCTCAACATCGATG